AGCTAACATCTCCTACTCTGTCCCTTATTCTAATCCATCAGTGTCCCAATACTGCTCTGACAAGATGCCAGCTACACTCCCATCTTAGAGCTTCTGGCACTGGCTATATTCTACCTGGGACAGTTGTCCCAGACAACAACATGCCAATTCTCTCCTCTCTTTCATGTCTTTGCTCAGATATCATCTACTTGAGGTCCTACCCTAACCACTTGATAAAAGTTGAATCTACTTTGAAATGCTTTTTAAAAAACCAGATATATGCTTCCAGTGGCAGGATCTGGAAATGAGGTGGCGTGAGCCATATATAGCACCTTGAAGGTGGCAAAAAGAACCCCCTGAAGCAACCCAAGAAGGTGGGTCAAAGAGCTACATGAGGAAGATGAGCTTTCAAGTAGAAACAAAAAGAGGAGCAGAAGAAACTTGACCCCAGGCAACTTATCAAGACCCCATCACAAAATAAAAAAATAAAAAGGGCTGGGGATGCAGTGCAGTGGTAGAGTGTCCCTGGGTTCAATCCCCAGTACTGGGGGCGGGGAGGGGGGAAGGAATGAAGTAAAGAATCATTGGCTGCTGAATTGAGAATAGATAAAAGATGTAGAGTGTTTCAAATTCAGTCATAAAGTCTTTTCTCTAGAGTGCTTTGTAGTTGTGAAACTGGCATATATAACTGTAACAGAATCCAAGGTCTCCTATAAATGAAATTTAAATATCAATTTTTTTAAGCTTTATTCTTTGTTTTTATTAACTAAAAATGTATCTTGACATATAAGCTCCTAAATGGTTTGTTTTCTTGTGCAGCCCACAGAACTTAATTGCCCAGTCTCAGTCTGGTACTGGTAAAACAGCTGCTTTTGTGTTGGCTATGCTCAGCCAAATAGAACCTGCAAACAAATATCCCCAGGTAAGGACTTGGTGAATTTGGATGTTCTTCTAATGCATAGCTAAAAGGGGAATTCCATTTGATGGATTAAAAGTCAAACTATGCTACTTTTTTTGGGGGGTTGGGATTGAACCCAGGGACTCATCTGTGCTAGGCAAAGTACTCTACCACTGAACTATATCACCTGCTGATATTACCATTATTTGCATAAACTAGAACTCAAGCACAAACATTATGGTTGATCTTTCAGTGGTAACAAAAATCCATGGTTTGAAAGTTCTGGGATATTCTGTTAGACTTCATTCTTGCAGAAAAAAAAAATCTCATCTGCTAGAAAGTTCTAACAAATTTTGTGGGGAGAGGGTCCTGGGGTTAACCTAAGAGTGTTTTACCACTGAGCTACATCCCCCATCCTTTTTATTATTTTAAGACAGTGTCTCACTAAGTTGCTTAGGGCCTTGCTAAGTTGCTGAGGCTGGCCTTGAAATTGCAATCTTGTCTCTTCTTCCCAAGTTGCTGGGATTTCTGAGAACTTATTGAGTAAGTTAAAAAGAGGCTAATGTTTGATTGCAATTTCAGATCCTTACTCATAAATGGATTCTTGTAGTCAATAGCTGTTTTCAAGTGTCATTACTCAGCCAGAATTCTGATTCCAAAGAATTTTAGCTTATGACTGTACCTTAAAGAATCAAAGGGTATACAGTTTAACTTACATATTATTTCCTTCAGCCTCACCTGGGGGAATGACCAGTTTTTAATGGGAATTCCCTTGATAAAAGAGATTTTCTCTTGATCTTCCATTCTACACTCTTTCCTACTCTTTCAGTGTCTGTGCCTCTCCCCCACATATGAGCTCGCCCTTCAAACAGGAAAAGTGATTGAACAAATGGGCAAATTTTACCCTGAATTGAAGCTAGCTTATGCTGTTCGAGGCAATAAATGTGAGTATGAGTATGTGATCCTGAGTTGTTAACCTAATGAATTATTTTCATTTTGAAAAGTTTTGAAACACACCCAGTAGTTAAAATAATGTAATAAACACATGTATGCTATCTGTCTAGATTAAAAAACTTAACATTCTGCCATATTTCCTTTATTTGTATATGTGTGCCTGCATTTTTGTTGAACCATTTGAAAGTAAGTTGCAGATATTGAGATATTGTACTTTTCATATGGACATTTTTGCATACCCATGATGTCCTTATCACAACCAAGAAAACTAATAAATTCCCTGGGATAATTAATATCCATTTTTCACTCTTTCCCATTTATCCTAAAACTGTTTCTTTATGGTTTTTTTTTTTTTTTTTTTAACAAAATTAAGTCAGTGTTTATGTGTTGCAGTTTCGTTGTTGTATGTCTTTGATTCTTTCAATGTGTAATTGTCCCTATACCTTCCCCCTCAATTACATTTGACCTGTTAGGTTGATCAGTGCATTTGCTTATAAAATGTTTCACATTCTGGATTTTTTAAATTTCCTGATTTCTTTCTCATGTTATTAGAAGCACAAAAATCTAAAATATTCATGGCAATTGACTATGGGGGCTTGTTGTTATTCTTTTCTGTATATTCATCCTTTTTTATTCACTTATTTACAACTAATGATATTTTATTTTTTTATACTGGGATTGAATCCATGAGTGTACTGGGGATTTAACCCAATAGAGCTTTATCCCTGAGATATATCCCCAGTCTTTTTTGTTTATTTTGAGACAAGGTCTTGCCAAGTTACTGAGGGTCTCGCTAAGTTGCTAAAGCTGGCCTCAAAGTTTTGATCCTCCTGCTTTAGCCCCCACAAATACTCAGGATTATAGGTGTATACCATTGTACCCAACAAGGTTATAATTCTTAAAAAACTAAAAGGTGAATCTTGAACTCGCTTCTAATTCAAAATGAAGAACCAAATTCTTCTCAACCACAGGGATGAGAAGTACACCGTAATCTGTCATGCCAAGTTAGGGAAGTATACTTTCTCAGAAAGAGTGTTTGTGTGTCTTTCAGAAGATAAAACTCTGTATAATAAACCCTATTTACTGACTTAGGCAGGAGAAACATAAAAGCAACTGACTTATTTGAAGTAGATGTCCAGATAGCTGACAAGGCAGAGTGCATAGAAAAGATAAGAACTTTCTTTGAAAGTTCAGTCTAATGAGGAAGCTCTGGCCTAGGAAAAAGATGTGTTTTTTTTGTCGCCCCCCCCCCCCCATATTTATTTATTTATTTATTTATTTATTTTTTAAGCGTAGTTGGACACGATGCCTTTATTTTATTTATTTTTATGTGGTGCGGAGGATCGAACCCAGGGCCTTGCACGTGCTAGGTGAGCACTCTACCGCTGAGCTACAACCCCAGCCGCAAGGAAAAAGATGTTGACAGAGTTAAAAAACAAAAGACATCAAATACTTGAAAGAGACTTGGATGATTCTAGAAAATGAATAGAATGTCATTGAAGGTCTGGGGATGAAGCTCAGGGTAGAGCACTTGCCTAATATATGTGAGGCCCTGGATTCAATCTCCAACACTGAAAAAACAAAAGAAAAAAGAAAAAAAAAATGCCACTGAAGATATTTTTATGTTATTATTATATCCTCCTTAGTATGTGTTTTTTTTGTTATGTTTCTCTATGTATCCATTAAATAATGTTGTGATATCCTAATTTTCCCTTGAAATATTAATGCAGAAGGGCACAGTGGCACATGCCTGTAATCCCACCTATCCAGGAGCTGAGTTGGAGGATCACAAGTGCAAGTCCACCCTGGGCAACTCAGGAAGATCCTATCTCAAATTTAAAAATTTTCAACATGACTGTGGAGATGCAGCTCAGTGGTAGAGTGCTTGTCTAAACTGTATAAGTTATTGGGTTCAGTCCTCAGTGCTGCAAAAGACATTAGAATTAAATTCAAAGAGTTTGAGGGTATATCAGAGAGGAGAGCTGGCTTTGCCTTTGAAATACCCACAGAAAACATCTCGTCTCCACAGTGGAAAGAGGTCAGAAGATCAGTGAGCAGATTGTCATTGGTACCCCAGGGACCGTCCTGGACTGGTGCTCCAAGCTCAGGTTCATTGACCCCAGAAGGATCAAGGTGTTTGTTCTGGATGAGGCTGACGTGATGATAGCCACCCAGGGCCACCAAGATCAGAGCATCCGTATCCAGAGGTAAGAACTGGAGTCAGGAAGGAAGTTCAGATGCCTCTTCTTGCTTCTACCCGTTCTTTGGTACTTGGAGCAGCATTTCTTTGATGGGCCATTTTCATGCCAGCACTGACCATCTCTCAGCCAGGGTTGAGAAAGGAGACATGGGACCCTAACCTACTCCTGTGCCACCCTGGGTCTGCTCTTCCTCTACCCTGGCCCTGGGATGCTCTGTACACCTTGCAGCCTGGGGCTATAGCCCATCCAAGCTGGGGAGGCTGTTTCTTCTCTACCTTCCAATGAAAATCTTGGGGTCATGTAAAGTGCATGGGCCTCACCTTGCAGGATGCTACCCAAGAACTGCCAGATGTTGCTTTTCTCTGCCACCTTTGAAGACTCTGTGTGGAAGTTTGCCCAGAAAGTGGTCCCAGACCCCAACATTATCAAACTGAAGCGTGAGGAGGAGACGTTGGACACCATCAAGCAGTATTATGTCCTGTGCAATAACAGAGATGAGAAGTTCCAGGCCTTGTGCAACTTGTATGGGGCCATCACCATCGCACAAGCCATGATCTTCTGCCATGTGAGTAGCACCTGCAGGGCTGCCCCGCCCCCTTCCCAGCCAGCTGCATCTCTGTGCTGAGGAGGACCTGGTTCACACTGTGAAATTGAAAAGGAAGGATATAACAATCACCTGTACCATCCCCCGACATAGTCTCCTCAGGTTCTTGAATTCTAAGGGGAAGACTTTGTGAACGGCTGAATCTTCTTTGATCCTACTTCTTAGAAGTTGTTTGAAAAAAAAACCAAATAAAATCCGATGAAATAACTTTAAACATTAAGGATATCGACTATTTAGAAATGAAGATCTTTGGCTCAATTCACACTCTCCCTGGATGAAAAAATAAAAGTGCCATGGTGCACACCTGTAATCCCAGCTAATTTAGAACCTGGGGCAGGAGAGGATCACAAATCACAGACCAGTCTGGGAAATTTATTTATTTGTTTATTTAAATTATAAAGGGCTGGGGACATAGCTCAGTGATAGAGCACTTTTCTAGCCAGTTGTGAGGCCCTGGGTTCAATTCCCAGTACACACAAAAAAATCATCCCCCCAAAATTATACAACTGACCAAATTGTTATATCACGGGCATGTAGGAATATATAACAATGAATCCCACTATTATGTTAGACTGCATCAATAAAAGTATGGAAAACAGAATCATACTGTTTCTGCTTACTCTCATCAGGGCTTCTGTGTTTTTAATGGCAGTAAGCCATTTCAGTTTAAACAATTATTTTTCCTTCCAGACCCGCAAAACAGCTAGTTGGTTGGCAGCAGAGCTCTCAAAAGAAGGCCACCAGGTGGCTCTGCTGAGTGGAGAAATGATGGTGGAGCAGAGGGCTGCTGTGATTGAGCGCTTCCGAGAGGGCAAAGAGAAGGTTCTGGTGACCACCAATGTGTGTGCTCGTGGTACGCAGAGACTGTCCTGGAATCCTAGGCTCAGGCACCCAGCCCTGTTAGCGAGAGAAGTCCTTATATCCAGGAGACTTGGATGGTCTCTAGGAGCCCTCTGGGGTTGGCGGGGATCCTTTTCAGGAGAGATGGGATTTCCCTTCGGGTGATGGGAATTTATAGAAGCCAACAGTCATGCCCAGGTACAAGGAGACACTCAAAACAGAGCCAGCTCTTCCCAGAGCATCTCCACTCTTGCGTGTGTAGCAAAGACTTGCTTTGTGGTTTCATGGTTTTAGTACCTGCAAGGTTCTGGTACGTACGCCAATATGTGTCCTCTCTTGTGCCTGCACCCCAGGACTTTGGACTGACTTGGTGTCAAATAGCTCAGAGGTGACCTGCTGCAGACTCTCCCTCCACCAGAGTGGGTGCATGGCTGACCATGTCTTTGGCCCTGACTCCTCTGTGTCCCTCCTTTGTGCAGGCATCGATGTTGAACAAGTTTCTGTCGTCATCAACTTCGATCTTCCTGTGGACAAGGACGGGAACCCAGACAACGAGACCTACCTGCACCGGATTGGGCGCACTGGCCGCTTTGGCAAGAGAGGCCTGGCCGTGAACATGGTTGACAGCAAGCACAGCATGAACATCCTGAACAGAATCCAGGAACATTTTAGTGAGTCCCCAGAGGGTCTCCTGCAGGCACCCCCTTTGTGGTGGATGTGGGGAAAGGGGAAGTTTTCCTGTGGCCCTGAGAGAGGCCTTTGTTCCTACACATGCTCCCTCCCTTCCCTTCTACCATTGGCTGGATGGGTGTTCTCAAGGAACAAACATAACGCTGGGGGCTTAGGGGCTCTAATGACGATTCCCCTGTGGCCAGGCTGAAGGGCCTGGGCTTTTGGATGTTGGTCAGAGCTCCCTGCTCAGGCTCTGGAAGCCTTTGGGGTTAAGAGGAAGGAGCATTGTAGTGGCCCAAAGAGCGGCCCATTCTTGGGCAGGGTCTTGTATCTTCCCTTTTCCTACCACACTATCCTTGTGGGTGACTTCAGCTGTGTCTCCATGGCAACCCCATTTTGATCTCTCTTCACATCTTTCTTCCCCCCCCCTCCCCTCAGATAAGAAGATAGAAAGATTGGACACAGACGATTTGGACGAGATTGAGAAAATAGCCAACTGAGAAGCTCTACCAGCCACTGGTGCCCGCCCTCGGGGCTGCCCCTGCCCAGGAGACGAGTGCTTTCATGGCACAGGCCTCAACTGTCACCACAAAGACAAAGGCATGAGGAGAGGAGCTACCTACCTCATTTTAAATTACGTTTGGACTTGACAAAAAATTTTGCAAATGATGAGGGATGGTAGAAAAATTATTTACACCACTGTGGAAGATTAGGCGTGAATACACAGAAATTTACCTTTTGGAAATTTCGTCAGTGTTTTGGCCAGCATTTTTCTCATCATTACCTAATCTAGATATTGTGGCTAAATCCAGGATCCCCTGCAGAGAAATCCCCGCCTGTTCTCTGGCTTGGAGTGTGGGGGCCAGCCTCCAGCATCTGTGGAAATGACACAATAGAAGTGAAGAGGGATTACAGAAGGAGAGGACGCCCACAGTAGATAGGAGTTATGCCTTGACATGGTATCTGGAGGCTGCCATGAGGCAGCAGAGGCGGCCTGTGAGCTGCTACTTTGGACTGACTTGGTGTCAAATAGCTTATCTGCATATTGCCAGCCCCTCTGTCCTGATGCCCACACTAGGAAGGTATTTGCTGTGATGGATAAAAATGCCAGCCTCTGGGCCTTTGTATGCAGGCTTGTGTCTCAGGACCATCACCAGCCCTTTTCAGCAGGTTTGATCTGTGTATGGTGTACATTGGATTATTGGTGGGTCCTTTGCTTGTGCTTGGGCAAGTCCTGTGGAGAAGTCATCGTGGAGAAATGGTGGTAGACGTAGCTTGCCACAAAATTTGGTTTCACTGGCACTTGCAGCATATTTTTTGTGTTGCCTTGTTCCTAGCCCAAGCAAATAAAAGGTGGTCTGGGATTTGGATTCTCAGTGAAAATTGTGGTTCAGGTTTCTAATGGCCAGCCTCAAGGCAGCTTCAGCAATAGTCACAAATCTTTTTTTGCCTCCAGATCCCAGAAGTTTTGTCAGATCTGGGGAATGATTACAGATATTTGGCATCTTGATTGTAAAGAGGTTCTGAACATCTGTGTTCCCAGGGCCTGGAATATACAAACAGGTGCAACCGAGGGACTAGATGGACTACAGCCATTCATCTATCCAAGGCACGAGTAACTGCCAAGGCCTATGCTCCATCCTTACTTGGCATCTATGCATAGGACAGTTAGAACAAAGAATAGAAATGGAAACTTTCTCACACCTGGCCAAGGTTCTTGGTACCCAGAGTGACAGAGCAGAGATGAGATGAAACTCAGGTGCAAGAGCAGTCTCAGACCCCCAACCAAAAGGAGTCCTCTTCAGCTCTTTGGCCTTGATATGGAATGTACTTTATCTAGGACCTGGAAGAGGAATTTTACAATTATTATTATTTTGTGTATGGTTCTGGGGATCAAACCCAAGGCCTATACATGCTAGGCAAGCGCTCAACCACTGAGCTATACCCTTGGCTGTGGTAGAAGACTTTTATATGATTAGAACCATTCTAATCCCAGATCATCTTTGAGGCATCTCTGTTTTAAGGCCAGGCTGTCACCTGGAAAGGGAATGGGCCCAATATCAGCCTCCCGGTGCTTTCCTTAATCTGACATTGTGGAAAAACTGTGACAGACTGTCAATTCTGACACATTCTCCTGTGGGTACTTGATGGTGTAGTTTTCTGTGTACTCCTGGTCAACGTTGACCCATCATAGGAGTCTCGTAAGAAGAAAAGAAATGTTATAGTCTCCTGAAGTTCTGTGGACCAACTTTGAAATAACTAAAAACAAGGACAATAAAGAAATATATAAACTGCTCACTAGGCTGCAGGCCGACTCCACTCCTCACAATAGGTATGACTCATCTACTATTGCAGTCCCAAATCTGAGAAGGAAAATGGGAAATGGTGTACTGCTGATTCTTCAATAGTAGGAGTAAATGAATTTCTGGTGGAAGTGTAGATCAATAGTTCTTAATTTGGGGTCTTAGACCTCTGAGAATTCACTGGATGGGTTTCATGGAGTCTATGAAATATATGCATTAGTTTGAGTTTAAATGCATTTTCTTGGGGAGACTCCCAAAGGATTATGCATCTTTTAAAAAGCCTAGACACCCCCTATTGTAGATGGTTCTGGAATGTCATCCCAGTGTCACTGTGGATCATATCGCTTCACAGTCCATATTCATTCCTGCCAGTGCCTGTCTCCAGGGCTCAGTGGTCCACAGCTGCTTCTGTGACCTAGTGCAGCCTGGAGACTTCAGTGATGTAAAAAATGTATTGAATTTAGTTAATTTTGGTCCCCAGGGATTCTTTTACTGGTTTTATTTATGGAATGATAAGCTGTACCCTAAAAGAGAGAAACTCAGGAAAGAAAATTTTGGTCCAGTAGAAAATACTGGATGTTCATTATCCATAAACAATGGATTTTATTAGGATTTTTTTTTGTGTCATTTATTGGCTGTGTTCTTATTGGCATAAGAACAAATCACTTGTTGATATATTCTTTATTGGTGTTAACTAAGATGTGTTCTCATTCATGAGTGTGCAAAGGAAACAGCATGTTTTTGGTTACTGTTATTAGTACTAAGCGAAGACTCACATGGTATTTCTTAAGCTAGTTATAGCCTGGTATTATGGGCTTGGAGATAGGTCTTCTCTTTGTCATTCCCATCTTGTTTCTTATTTAACATGTAGAATATTCCATATAAATATCAATGATGACCAGAAGGTAAGGATTTCTGAGGATAGAGAAAGTTTTGTAAAGAAATGGAGCTTGCATATGAGAGAAAAGCAAGATTCCAAGTGACAAGAAGAGTGCCCTAGGTAGGGGAAGGGAATATTAAGACTAACGCAGGATGGGGCTATAGCTCAGTGATAGAGCGCTTGCCTTGCAGGTGTGAGGCCCTGGGTTCAATCCTCAGGACCACATAAAAATAAACAAAGGTATTATGTCCATCAACTAAAAAAAAAAAAAAGACTAAAGCAAATTCACCAGGATGATGATAGAAGTACACTGGAGAGGCAGGGAGATGAGCAGCCTAGCTATGTGCGTAGAGAAAAGTCTCTTCAGATAGAAAATGAAGATTGATTCTTTAAACAGTGTCTTAGTCCTTTGTGCTGCTACACCAAAATACCTGACTGTAATTTATAAAGAACAGAAATGTATTTCTCACAGTTCTGGAGGCTGGAAAATCCAAGATCAAGGAGCCAGCAGGGCTGACTGACCTCTGATGAGGACTGCTCTCTTCCTCCAAGATGGTACCTTGTTGCTACTCTTGAGGGAAGGACACTGTGTCCTCACATGGTAGAAAGTATGGAAGGGCAAGCAAGTGTTCACTTTAGCCTTGAGCTCTTCTGTAAGGATGCTTTGACTCTCCCAAAGGTCACACCTACACACACCCCCTCTAATGGGATTGAACCCAGGGCACTTTACCACTCAGCTACATCTCCAGCCCTTTTTATTTTTTGAGACAGTCTTGCTAAATTGCAGAGGCTGACGTTAAATTTGGAATCTTCCGGCCTCTGTCTCCAGAGTGACTAGGATTACAGATGTGCACCACTGTCCCTCTCAAGGTCACAACTTCTTAATACTGTTGTATTTGGAAATTAAGTTTCAACCTGAATTTTGGAGAGGGCACCATCATTTAAACCATAGTAAATGGTGTTTGAACTTAGTGGTAAATTTCCATAGATTCTTAAATTATAAAAGGGAAATGATGAAATTTTTTTTGAGAAGAATTTGTCTAGCAGAAATACATAGGATATTGAATATATTGGAGGTAGAAAATGCTGACAGCTAAGCCAGATTTTATTGCATCTGTCCCATCATACCCCCAGTGCTGAGATGTCATTTGGCTGTGTGGAAAACAAAAGAAGGAATGCACTGGGGAAATTGAAGAAGAATGGTAGGCCTTAACACCTTGTTATTGCAAGAAGGATCTGTGGTTTGTAAAAAATTCACTGCAAAAAACAATCTGAAGAAACCCACAATGAGAGTGTGGAAAGAACAGATTGCATTAGAATTGAATCCCTGTCATGTATGATGCCAGGCCTTCCACCTTTATAAGAGGGCTGATCCTCCTTCACCACACCACTCAATGTGTGGTAGATTTCAGGGGCCCTCTTCAGGTTTCTCTTGGTCTTGGACACAGACACCAGGTGCTTGGGAACCCCTTGTAGTTTTTTACATGAATGTTTTTTTTTGCTTGAGAATAAATATTCCTTATTCTGTTGTCCGACTCCTATTGCCTATTGCAATAGCCTCCAAAAGTAACACAGGAGGTGAGTGCATTCTGAGGTGCTGATGCTAAGACCCTGCTTTCCTTATCCCAAATTTGAGGCAGAGCTTCCCAGAATAGCTTCAAACACCTACTGTGAAGTTGGAGACCAGTGAAGATTGTGGGTGTTTCTTGTTAAACTATTCTGGCATTAGTATTTAGCAGGGCAAGGGCCTATTTCATAGTTGTTCTAGTTGTGAAATGGGGGATAGGAGTAGTCTATGGGGAAAAGAATGTTAGATGAAGCCTGACAGTGGCTGGCTGGGAGGTCATTTGCTCAGTTGAGACACTCATTCCTTATGGCTCTATTGCCCAGGAGTATAACTTGCCAGGGTGGAAATCTCCTATAGGACTACTCTGATTTTGTAAGGTTTTTTTTGGGCGGGGGGAGGGGGAGTGTCTATAACTCCAGTTTTTGTATTTTTTTATTTTGAGATAGGGTCTTGCTAAGTTGCTGAGGCTGGCATCAAGCTTGTGATCCTCCTATCTCAGCCTCTAAAGTTGCTGGAACACAGGCTTGTGCCACCATGCCTGGCTCATTTTGGAGTCTTTACAACTGTTCTGTTCATTTATAAGTTTCCAATATCTGGGCACAGTGTGCACACCTGTAATCCCAGTGGCTTGGAAAGCTGAGGCAGGAGGATCATAAGTTCAAAGCCAGCCTCAGAAATTTAGTGAGGCCCTAAGTAAAATATAAAAAGGTGGTTGGTGGGGATGTTGCTCAGTGGTTAAGCACCCCTGGGTTCAATCCCTGGTACCAAAAAAAAAGTTTCCAGCATCCTTGGAATTCCCCAATTGGATAATAGTCAAATGGTTTTAGGTGCTTTAGCTTATTATATCTGAGCGCATACCTCCCCTTGCTTAAACAACCTGAAAGGATGACTCAGCCCTGGTTGGTTGTGTAGTCAACCTCTAGGTTTATTTATTTATTTGTTTCGGTACCAGGGATAGAACCTAGGGGTGCTTAACCATTAAGCTACATCCTTAGCTCTTTTAAAAATATTTTATTTAGAAACAGGGTTTCACTGAGTTACTTAGGGCTTCACTCATTTGTTGAGGCTGGCTTTGAACTTTCGATCCTCCTGCCTCAGCTTCCCTAGTCACTGAGATTACAGGTGCGCGTCACTGCACCCGGCAACCTCCAGGTTTATTGTTGCTCTCGTCTGTTTATTTTCCTCTCAGACACTAGTAGCTGCCAAATTTACATTGAAATTATACAGATAAACCAATGCTATTTGAATCCAGGTTTAACAGGAATGTCTCAATATTTAGGCATTGCTTTGTTAATTTGGGGGTGGGGGGTGGGGTGGGAGGTGATGTGGCTGGAACCCAGGCCCTGCACATGCTAGACAATTGCTCCACTACATCCAAGCCCTGTTAAATTCCAAAATTTTGGGAGAAATTAAATATTAATCTATTCAACTGATTTTATACTTTTTTTTTTTTTTTTTTTTTTAGGTCCTGGGGGTTGAACCCAGTGGTGCTCTACTACTGAGCCACATTCCCAGCCCTTTTTATTTTTGAGACAGGGTCACATTAAGTTGCTTAGGGCCTCACTAAGTTGCTGGAACCGGCCTTGAATTTGGGATCCTTCTACATCATCTTCCCAAATCACTGGGATTACAGGCATGAGGGAACAACTTCTAGAAGAGCTCTAATTCCTCTATGCAATAGATCTTTCTGATTAACCCCTGCCAACACACACACACACACACACACACACACACCACAATGACTATTTCACGACTTTCACACACCTGTGATTTCCAGCCCAATCAACTCTCTCAGCTGTGAGCAAATCCCCTATTCCAAGAAACTGGCCAATATGAGGAAATTCCCTCAACCTCCTACCAGACCTTTCTCCACATAGCAACCCCACTCCTGTTCTAATGGGATAATTATCCCTTTGTGTGTGTGTGTGCATAGTTGTTAATGGACCTTTATTTATTTGTGGTGCTGAGAATTGAACCCAGTGCTTCATGCATGCTTGGCAAGCATGCTACCACTAAGCCACAACCCCAGGCTCCATTATCCCTGTTCTTTTTTTTTTTTTTTTTTTAATTTTTTTTAGTTGTATTTGGACCCAATGTCTTTTTATTTTTTTTTTTTTTTTTTTTTTTTTTTTTTTAAAGCATGGTCCAAATACCAGGCTTCATCTTTATTTATTTATTTATTTTAGTTTTTAGGCAGACACAACATCTTTGTTTGTATGTGGTGCTGAGGATCGAACCCGGGCTGCACGCACACCAGGCGAGCGCGCTACCACTTGAGCCACATCCCCAGCCCTCTTTTTATTTTTATGTGGTGCTGAGGATCCAACCCAGTGCTTCACATGTGCTAGGCAAGCCTCTACCACTGAGCCCCAGCCCCCCATTCTTAATTTTTTTACCATCCCAACAGATTCCTTCTGGACTTTTTTTTTCTTTTCCTCCTGTACCAGGGATTGAACCCAGGGGCACTTTTTCCACCGAGTTAACATCCCCAGCCCTTTTGATTTTGAGACAAGGTTTTGCTAAATTGCCCAGGCTGGTCTTGAACTTGTGATCCTCCTGCTTCAGCCTTCAGCTTCACTGGGATAACAGACATACACCATGGCATCCAATCCTCTTTTGGCTGTTTAAGGCTCCATTGATTGTCCATATTTTCAACCTCTTCCTCCCTATTAGGTCCTCCTTGGTGCTATTTAATGTGCTGATACTTGATGACTAATATTGTATTGTCCCTCAATTCTCTATCCTAAGCCTTACATTTCTCCTTGAATAAGTCTAAGAGTTGTTTCTATGTGCTGAGGCACTCTCTTCATCCTTCTGCAGTTTGACTTCTGCCCCATGTCTCCCCTGAAATAGCTGCACCAAGAACACTGGCCAACTATAATCTAGTCCATAGTTGACTTCTCAGCACTGGACAATCCCTTGAACCACTCTTACGGTAACTAATGTGACACGCCCCATTTGCTGGCCTATCTTCTCTTAAGCATTTGTCAGGCTCCTTGGCAGACTCCTTTATAACACTCAATCACATCCCCAGCCTTTTCATTTTTAATTTTGAGACAGCATCTCACTACATTGCTGAGGCTGGCTTTGAACTTTCAAGCCTCCTGCCTCAGGCTCCCAAGCCTCTGGGATTGCAGGTGCACCACCATAGCTGGCTATCTCTTATATTTTACGTGTCCTTCTCAGTCTAGGTTTTTCACATTTGCCTCCCTAGGACCTGCATCCCCCAGTTTAATCAAATCTTGCAGTAGCAGCTCAGTTTTGGTCCAGGCTGTAAGGCTATATCTCCCTAGGTAAGAATTATTAAAATAAGTCACAGGCCAAGTGAAAGGTCAGAAGCTACTTTTTCAGATCATTTTCTTAGCCCTAGGATTCTAGCAGTACGCCAGCTCTAATTCCATGCTCCATATGGAAGTACTTTATTGCTGTTGCCCAAATTTCTTTTTTTTTTTCTTTTTGGTACTGGGGATTTAAGCTGGGGTTGCTTTACCACTGAGCCACATCCCCACCCTTTTTATTTTGAGACAGGGTCACACTAAGTTGCTTAGGGCCTTATTAAGTTGCTGAGGCTGTCTTTGAACTTGTGATCTTCCTGCCTCACCCTCTTGAGTCACTGGAATTACAGGTGTAATCTTTTCCTATTACGTTAGCAAGTCTTACTTAGCTTACCTCCACTGTATTTCTTGATTCCATCACCTCATCTTCACTTCCGTTGCTCAACATATGCCCTGTACTTCTAAGATATCAGAATAACTTCCCCACTGATCTCCTTTCCTCTACACATCATTGCTTCTACCACATTCTGTTCCTTGCAATCCAATATATCTTGCCAACCCTCAGATATAATTTGTCAGTATCCCTTGTAAAACATCCCCAAATCTACCAAATAAAACCTTTTTTCCCCCTTCAAGTTTTTCATTAAGATCCAAATAAGATCCTCTGCAATATTTTCTATACTGCCCCTACCCCAATCTACTAACCTAAGATGCAGCAAAAATAGGTTCTGATTCTTGTTCTGTAAGGGAGTCCAAAACTTCCGTGCATTTTCTCCTCCTAAAATACCTTTTTCCTTCACCTCTGTCAAATCTGATTAATATCCAGCTCACAAAAAACATACCTAATTTCTGATGTGTGTTGAGCAGGCCTTCACTGAAGAGAGTAACTTTCAGAGTACCTGACCATTTCAGTTTTTTTCCTGGCTAATGAAAAATGCATATTAGCCATATGGAAACCCTTGGTGCAAAGGCCCATATGGCTGAGTCCCAAACCCACTTGCAGCAGGCCCAGCGTGACGTTGAGCAGTTCATCAGAACAGTGGATTCAGGAGCCAGTTTTTGGTCCAGGCTGCTACTAAGCAAGTCGCTCTTTTCGGGGGAAGAGGGCGTGGGTACTGGAGATTGAACCCAAGGGTGCATAACCACTGAGCCACATCTCCAGCCCTTTTTATTTTTTATTTTGAGGCAGGGTCTTGCTAGGTTGCTTAGGGCCTCGCTAAGTTGCTAAGGCTGGCTTTGAACTTGCAATCCTCTAGCCTTACCTTCCTGAATCACTGGGATTACAGGCATGCACAACCACATCTGGTATCTTATAGTTTTATCTTTCTTTTCGCAGAGCTGGGGATGGAACCCAGGGCCTCGTGCATGACAGACATGTGCTCCACTGAGCCACCCCACAGTCAATATATTTTTCATGAGACTTTATATAAAGCTTTACAGTTCAGAAACTTATTTGAGTTGCGGCAGTTTTTAAAATAAATTTTGAGCTATTTCCGTGTGAAGTAAGGCAATAATGAAGGGAGGGCCGTTTTTCACTTTGTCGCGCTCAAGAATTTTAACGCACCTGAGAAAATCGAAACACCTGGGTCGGCTTACAGATGAAGGCCTGGCGCGGAAGGGTGACGCCTGCGGCCTCGAAGGAACTGACGTCAGTGAGTTCGCGCTCCGCCACTTCCGGCCCGCGTGAGTGGCGTCTTGCGCCGGTTGCGGGCCGGGGACTGATATCGGCGCGCTGTGTTGTGCAGGTTTTCGCGAGTTACCCTACCATTACCAGGACCATGGCCACCGACTCGTGGGCCCTGGCGGTGGACGAACAGGAGGCGGCTGTCAAATCGGTCAGTGGCTTCAGGCGGCGGGACAGCACCTCGGGCCCCTGTAGACTGTTTCGGGCTCAGGGAGCGCCGGAGTTGGGCAGGCCTCTCCCCAGCACGCTCCTTGAGTTTGCCATGGGCAGTCTCTTAGTCCTGTTTGCTCCTAGAAAGAAACCGGTGTCGAGTTTTTATCTTTATTTGGGCTAAAGACTTTGTCTTTTGGTAAATCTATCCTTGCTGTATGGTCTGGTTTCCTATACGGCACCTCTTTGTCTTGACGATTGTAAGGAAAGGCAGATACAGATGCTGATTTTTTTTTCCTTATTAAGTGACAGGTCTCTCTCTCTCCCCCTCCCTCCCCCCCTCATTTTTTTAAGTGTTCTCGGGCTACTTTATATTTAACAATTCTTGGATCCATGTTTAACATGGTTTGCAGTTTGTAGCAGAATAACAGATTCAAGTTTAGATTTAATGTTTCAGTCAACTGCAAATGTTGGAGAGAGGGACTTACAAATTGTTTCTCTGATGTCTAAAGTGACATTTAGTTTCATATATTAGTCATTTTTTTCTAATTAATGAAGATTCATTGAACTGGAGTGTAAGTGTGCTGTAAATTGTGGTTTTCAGTTCTTACATACCTGATACCTGAAGTTTAGATTTGTTCATTAATAATGGACTGCTGATTTTGAGAATGTAGGTTTTTTTGGTAGTCTTAAGCCTTGTGTAACTTTTTTTTTTTTTTTTTTTTTTTTTGGTACTGAGGATAGAACCCATGGGTGCTCCACCACAGAGCTATATCCTCAGCCTTTGTGTGTGTGTGTGTGTGTGTGTGTGTTACCAGGGATTGAACCCAGGGGTGCTTAACCACTGAGTCACATCCACAGCCCTTTTTCATATTTTATTTAGAGACAGGATCTTGCTGAGTTGTTTAGGGCCTTGCTAAATTTCTGAGGCTTACTTTGAACTCAGGATCCTTTGCCTCAGCCGCCTGAGTTCTTGGGATTACAGACATGCCCCACCGCACCTGGCCCATCCTCAGCCTTTTACAATTTTTATTTACTATTATTAGTAGTAGTACCAGGGGTGCTTAACCACTGTGCCACATCTAACATCCTTTTTTATTTTTATTTATTTATTTGTTTGAGATAGGGTAAGGCTAAGTTGCTTAGGGCCTTGCTAAGGTACTGAGGCTAGCCTTGAACTTGCTGTCCTTCTGCCTGAGTCTCCTGAGTTGCTGGGATTGTAGGCACACCTGAAAAGCCATATATAACTTTTTAATGTTTAAATTGCATGTTTTTTCTCCAGCCACCTTTATTGTTGTGGGAGAATTATCAGTTTATCAGCAGGTATTTGAAATGGAGTAAGCCCAGTGGAGTATAGGAAGCATCTTCATCGTCTAGAATGAGGGAAATGATGTGAAAGTGCCAAGGATAATATGATAAATGAGCTCTGAGCAGTAAGAGGGCATTATGAGTAGGAAAATCAGGTATGATTTGGTGAGCTAGATATTAGAAAATAAATCAGATTTGACGGAGGTGGAGGTAAAAGGCATTTTAGGCTGGGCACAGTATCGCACACCTATGATCCCAGTGACTCAGGAGGCTGAGGCAGGAGGATCGTGAGTTCAAAGCCAGCCTCAGCAATTTAGCGAGGCCCCAAGCAACTCAGTGAAAACCCTGTCTCTAATAAAACATAAAAAACGACTGGAGATGTGGCTTGGTGGTTAAGTGCCCCTGGTTTCAATCCCTGGTACCAAAAAAAGGGGGGGGGGCATTTTAGGAGGAGAAAATGCACCAAAGTGTTGGATTCCCTTACAGAACAAGAATCAGAACTCATTTTTGCTGTAGCTTAGGTTATTAGATAGGGGTAGGGGCTTGGACTTTAATGAAGAATTTGAAGAGGAAAAAAGCTTTATTTGGTAGATTTGGGGATGTTTTACAAGGGATATTGACAAATTATATCTGAAGGTTGGCGAGATATATTGGATTGCAGGGAACAGAATGTGGTAGAAGGAATGATGTGTAAAGGAAAGGAGATCAGTGGGGAAGTTATTCTGTTATCTTACAAGTAGAGGGCATATGTTGAGCAATGGAAATGAAGATGAGGTGATGGAATCAAGAAATACCGTTGAGGTGAGTTAAGCAGGATATGCTAACATAATAGAAAAAAAAGAGAGAGAGAGAGAGAAGGGAAATAATACCAAAGCTTACTATGTTCAAGCTGGATCTGATAGGCATTGTTAATAAAGTGCTAGTAACAGGAATGGGGAAGTAGGAGGAAGGATAATTTTGATATGGAGAGTGGTGAATTCATATTTGGATGTTCTGAATTTGAGAAAAGGCAACATCTTGGTAAACATCTCTTAAGACTTTCTTGAAGTTTACAGGTTTGATGATTTGTTAGGATGACTCATAGAGACTCAGTATATACTTGTGCTCACAGCTATGATTTATTACAGTGAAAAGATAGAAAGCAAAATTAGCAAAAGGAAAAGGTTCCAGAGGCAAAGTTCAGAGGAAATCAGGTACAACCTTCTAAGAGTGCTCTGCCAGTGAAGTCTGTAGGATGTGCTTAATTCCTCCAGCAACAAATAGTAACAACACAGATGAAGTGGTGTCATGCATGCCTGTTGTAGACTCAGTGCTTAAGGTTTTCTTTTTAATTTTTTTCTTTCCTTTTCCTTTCTATGTTTATTCTTTATCGCGGTCCTAGGGAATGGACCCAGATACTCACGCATACTAGGCAAGTGTTCTACCACTGACCTACATCACCAGCCCTTTTATTTTTTATTTTGAGCCAGGGTCTCATTAAGTTACCCAGGTTGGCCTTGAACTAATGATCCTCCTGCCTCAGCCTCTCAAGTTTCTAGGAATATTTGCATGCACCACCATGCCCAGCTATCATTCCTTTTCTTAGGTTGTTGAAGATACAGGAAACATTTTTGCTCATGCTTTTAGCACTTCTGCTTTGAGCAGAACAGACCAGCTCTCTGAATATAGTTCTGCAGTAGTTCTTGTCAGACTTTCACTAGGGAGCTTCTGTTTTGCTCAGAGGCCTTCCTTTGCTTAGGTCATTTGCTTACTCTGTTTCTTTTTATTCCTATTCAGATGAGCAGTTTGCAGATCAAGGAAGAGAAGGTCAAACCAGATACCAATGGTGAGTCACTAGAAACCACAGGCTAGGTACAAATGACACGTGTGTCTGCTTTGCACTCACAGCTGCAGCAAGCCATGACTCTTTTCTTCAGTGTAATATTTGGCAAATGCCGGAGCTGGAATTGAGAGTCCTAAATTAGAATTCATTACTAAAGGGGAATATATCAGTTTTTAACTTTTTGAAAGTATGTCTAGGTTTAAAACTCAAAATATATAAAAATATACAAGGCTTCCTTCCCATGTTGCTCCAGTGTTTACCCTGTTCCTACTGCCACGTGTGTTTATTTGCTGGGCCTGCTCTAACAAGGTATCACAGAGCTGGGTGGCTTAAACCACAGCAGTTTATTGTCTCACAGTTTGGGAAGCTGGAATTCCAATATCAAGGTATCAGCAGGGTTGGTCTCTGCTGAGGATTATGAGGAAGACTCTATTCTGTTGCCTCTCCCCAGCATTCTTGTGGTGTGCTTGTAGTCTTTGATGTTCCAGCATCACCCCATCTCTCCTTTTATCTTTACCTGGCATTCTCTTTGTGTCTGATGTCCAAGTGCCATCCCCCCTCCTTTTTTTCCTCTTTTGGCAGTGCTGAAGATTGAATCCAGAACCACAAGCAGGCTCAGCAAGTGCTCTGTCACTGAGCTGTGTCCCTAAGTTTCTCTTTTATAAGGACTCATTCTTATTGGAGCAGGGCACACTCTGATCTTAGCTTAAATTTTTATATTCTCAGTGACCCCCATCTCCAAATAAAGTCACATTATGAGGCACTAGGGGTTAGGACCTGAACATATGAATTTTGAGAGGACACAATTGTACCCATAACATATACCATCCCATAAGTAACCACTGTTCCTGGATTTTCAGTAGTCTTCACCGGTTTTTTGAGCAAAGCAAATACAAATATAAATTCTCCCTTTTTTCTCCTGTCACCATCATGGTGTTTAATCAAACTTAGAATTTTTTTTAGTTTATTTTTTAGTTTTAGGTGGACACAATATCTTTATTTTATTTTTATGTAGTACTGAGGATCAAACCCAGTTCCTCACACATGCCAGATGCGCATGCTACCACCTGAGCCACATCCTCAGCTCCAAACTTTTAGAATTTTGCCAGTCTAAAAGGTAAAAATTGTTGGATTGTGTTTGCTAACATAATGCTGTATTTTAATTTAGGATAATTCAGAAGTGATATACTCTGGTCACTAAGTTACTTGAATTTCTATACACAAAGAATTGCTAGATATAAAATCCATTAAACATAAAGAAATGCCAACTATTTATATTTGGGTCACTTAAATAAGTTTTAGTGTTTCTGTTGTTCTACTTTTTTTTTTTTTGGCAGGGGATGGGGTACCGGGGATTAAACTCGGGCTCTCAAGCACTGAGCCACATCCCTAGCCCTATTTTGTATTTTATTTAATTTAGAGACAGGTCTCACTGAGTTGTTTAGCGCCCAGCTGTTGCTGAGGCTGGCTTTGAACTTGTGATCTTCCTGTCTTAGCCTCCCTAGCCACTGGGGATTATAGGTGTGTGCCACTTTGCCCAGCTATTGTCCCACCTTTTTTTTTTTTTTTAAACAGCAACTCTTAATTTTTTTTTTTTTTTGAGAGAGAGAATTTTAATATTTATTTTTTAGTTCTTGGCAGACACAACATCTTTGTTCGTATGTGGTGCTGAGGATCGAACCCGGGCCACAGGCGAGCGCACTACTGCTTGAGCCACATCCCCGGCCCATATTGTCCCACCTTTTAAGTTTAATATTTGCCTGTTTAGTGACATGTGTTTTCTTGTGTAGGTGTTATCAAAACCAGTACCACTGCAGAGAAGACAGATGAAGAAGAGAAAGGTAACTACTTTTTGAAGCCCCATGGCAAGAGATGGAATATGACCTGGCGCTTGCCTTCCTGGACCCAGAGGCTGAGTTATGAGATCAAGTTGAAGAGGAAGACTCAGCAAAGGAGATTGAGAAGTAGCAGTCAGTGAGATAGAGTGAAAATCAAGAGCATGATGTCCTAGAAGCCAGAGGAAGTATTACAAAAGTAGGGTGTCAGCTATGGGTAAAAAGTTGATTAAGAGAAGAACTGGAGCTGGCTGTGGTAGTACTTTTCTATAGTCCCAGCTACTAGGGAGGCTGAGACAGAAGGATCACTTGAGCCTGGGAGTTTGAGGACAGCCTGGGCCATATGGTGAGACCCTGTCTCAAAAAAGAGAAACTAGAAATTGACCATTAAACTGATTTTGTGGTGTGGAAATCATTGTTGAGCTTTCCAGGGACTATTGAGGTCAAATGGCGAGGTTTAAAAAAAGAAAAAAGCTCATTCATTGTACAATAGAAAGGAGGGAAAGAAAGCAAAATGAATATAGACAGCTCTTTTATGGAATGTTCCAGAAACTGGAGTAGTGAACTCTAACAGTAGCGGAATGGGGATTGTGAGGTAAAGGAGGAAACACATTTATGAATACAGATGTTAAAACAGGCTCACATGCTCCTAGGAATGGTCCAGTAAAGGGGGAAAGTGAAATGCATGAGAAAATGAGGAGACATACCCTTGTGGGCAGGAAAGAATGAGAACTTTCAGATAAGCAGAGGCTTAGCCTTAAGAGCACAAGCTGTTTATCTAGGTACTAGATGGGAGGTGGAGGATAGTTATGCAGATGTGGGTAGATGTGTAGTTGTGGTCATGAATGGGAATGTGGAGAAGTTAAAAAGTTGAGAAAAGAGGAGTTATAGCTGGAGGTTTGAGAAGAAGGATAAACGAGTGGACTATGAAGACAAAGACTTGCTGGGCAGCTCAGCCCATTTGAATCTAGTGGTGAAGAATTTAAAGGGAGAGCGGGCATGGTGTTGCACACCTGTGATCCAGCAACTCAAGAGGCTGAGGCAGGAAGATCACAACTTCAAAGCCAGGCTTAGCAATTTAACAAGACCCTAAACAACTTAGCGAGACCTTGTCTCAAAATAAAAAAGGACTGGGGATGTGGCTCAGTGATTAAGTGCCTTTGTGTTCAATCCCTAGTACTAAAAACAAAAAAAAAGGAGGCTTGTCAGTGTGATCATGTTTTTCTCCAGCCATGCTTGGTTGCCTGGGTGCTGGTGCAGAGGTGCAGAGGGGAAGAGTGGGCTCTTACAAGGGTGGGGTTTGCCTGGTGAGTATGGAGAAAATCTGCTAGTTTCTTCCTGACAGAGGACAGAGCTGCCCAGTCTTTACTCAACAAGCTGATCCGAAGCAACCTTGTGGATAACACTAACCAAGTGGAAGTCCTGCAGCGGGATCCGAACTCCCCGCTCTACTCAGTGAAGTCTTTTGAAGAGCTTCGACTGTGAGTATCCATGGCTTTGAACAACTTTTTTCTTCCCAACTACGCCCCTATAAAACTAGTACCTAAGGAATTCTTGTGGGGATTTTACTTTTTAATTTGCTTTAAATTTTTTAATGTATTTACTTCTCTGAGTAGGTAATAATGCACAATTCAGAAGTCAAAACGAATGAACAAGTTTACAGTGATGGTCTCCTACCCCTTTCTTGGCTATCCAGTTCTCCTGGTTGAGATTTTTTTGAGACTCTTTCTCTCTTTGTGGCCCAGGCTGGCCTCTAACTCCTGGGCTCAAGGGAGCTTCCCATCTCAGCCTCCTGGGAAACTGGTATTAAAGGTGTGCACCTCTGGGCCTGACTTTCTTGGTAGAGATTTTTAATGCCACAGATTTATTCATCATAGCTGAAAGTCTCTTTTCTTTTATGCTCTTAGAACTTTCAATAAAATATTGGCTGACAGGTGATTTCTGGATATCAGGAACATTTCTTATTAGGTAAGCCCTTTTGTTAGATTGTAGGGTATACAGTCTTAAGAACAGTTTATCTGTGTATAGAAAGTCTGTGAAAAGAGCCTGGATTCTCAATATTAGAGTGGAAAGCAAATTTTATTGTTTCTAAATTTTAAGAAAAACCCAGAATCAAGCCTTAGGTAGCCTCTTCCTGGTGTGCTAAGAAAGCCTTTTAATATTATTTTGAAAGGTAGAGAATTAGGGCTGGGGATGTGGCTCAAGCAGTAGCACGCTCGCCTGGCATGCGTGCTGCCTGAGTTCGATCCTCAGCACCACATACAAACAAAGATGTTGTGTCCGCCAAAAACTGGAAAAAAAAAAAAAAATTAAAATTCTCTCTCTCTCCCTCTATCTTTAAAAAAAAAAAAAAGGTAGAAAATTATGAGTCATTCCGCATGCTTTGTTTTCTTCAGTAAATTAGTAGAATGGTATTTATGGATGATTGCTTCATGTATAAGCCGCTGTGCAGGTTTTTTCTAGGAGTACATCACATACCTACCATTCTTGCTGTCTGCCAGGATCCAAATCATAGACAGAAGATAGCTGGTGAATAAGAATGTGGTGGAATAAATGGATTATTTGCCTTTGTTTAGAAAAATCTAGTGTGCCCCTCTGGGCAAATAGAGGCTAAATTCCTGCTGCCTAATACCACTGAGTAAGACACATTGAAAATAAGAGCTAACTAGTTGTTAGTGAAATGTGTTTGTCTGTTTTTTGTCACTGTGACAAATATCTGAGAAAAATAACCTAGAGGAAGAAAATTTTTACTTTGGCTTACATTTTCAGAGATTTTAGTCCGTGTTTGGCTGGCTTCATTGCTTTGGGCCTGAGTAAGACAGAGCCTCATGGTAAAAGGGTGTGGAGGAGGAAACCTGCTCAGCTCAGGGCAGCCAGGAAGCAGAGAGAAGGGGAGAATGGAAGGAATCACTGATAAAATATATTTCCCAAGGACATGCCCCTCAGTGAGTTACTCCTTCCCACCATGTCCCACCTGCCAACAGTTTCCATCACCTCCCAATAGTTCATTCACATAGTTAATCCATCAAATGTACTAATCCCCCAATGAGGTTAGAGCCCTCTTGATTCAACAGTTTCTTAAAATAGCCCTATCCCTGGATTTTGCTGCATTTGAGACCAAGCTTTCAAAATACAAGACTCAGGACATTTCAGATCTAGATCATAACACAAAGTAATTGTGAAGAACATGTTTTTTTTAAAGTGTAACTTTTAAGGTTTTCAAGAAATAAACTTTTCCTAGCCTCAGCAAGTTCGTGAGACCTCGTCTCAAAATTTAAAAAAGGGCTGGATCAGCCACGCGACCAGCACGCTAGCTTCATAATAGAGGTTCGAAAGCATAAAAATTAACTAGTGAGTTTTAAAATTAAAGAGACATAACTTTCGTTACCTTATTTGCCCAGCTCAGAGATGGCTCCTCCTAGCTCCTGCCTCCAGCCACCTAATGTGGTAGCGAGGTTAACACAAGAGGCCAGCGAGAGAGGGAGCACGCCAGGGAGTGAGCTTTTATTGGGGAACAAAAAATTCAAGGGAAAATTCCATCCAATGAAGGTCGAGGGGGGCAGCATTCCAAGGTCAGGGTCAGTGATTGGTCTTCAGGTCAGTGGTCAGGCACACCCCCACACGGACAGCCCTCGCACCTGAGACAGGGTGGGGAAGGCTCTGACATGGTGTCTAAGCGCCTCTCACCCAGCCAGGGAGGTAACTCAAATCACGTGGGAGAATGGCTTCCCACAGCTGGAGATGTAGCTCAGTAGTAAAGCACTCCTGAATTCAATCCCCAGTACCAAAAAAGGCAAGTTCTTTCTAATTCAATTGTTGGAAGTCAGAAGAAGCAAAGAACAGGAAGTAGGTCACCTAATGTCCTTGGGTCAGTTGTTTTGTCTTGGTACTTGGGATTGAACGCATGGGGGCTTTACCACTGAGCTACATCCTTAGCCTTTTTAATTTTTTGAGACAGGGTCTCATTGATGATTTACTTAGGTCCCTGATAAGTTGCTGAGACTCGCCTCCAACTTGTGATCCTCCTGCCTCAGCCTCCTGAGTTCCTGGGATTACAGATGGGTGGCACCATTCCCAGCATTTGGGCTGTTTATTTAAAAGATTTGAAATAATCTGAAAAATAAAAGAAATATAATAATCCAGTGAAAGCTATCAGATTATATGAATCCCAATTAGGTATGACTTTGTTCCTTGATAACTAAATAAGAAGCTGCTTTATTTTCCCAAGAAAAAATACCAAGCATTGGGGTTTTTTTTGTTTTTTTTTTTTAAGTTCTGCATATCTGAGAAACATGTGGCAGCATTTGCCTTTTAGAGAACCTGTTAGCCTCCAGTGAAGGCTTCGAAAACAGAAGTCTTGATGCAGTTTGGCTTTTCTTTAGAAACAATCTGGTGTGGTTTTTGTCAAATGTCCTGTCAGTCTAGAGATAACAAAGAGCTCATTGTAAATGGAATATAAGGGTAGTTTAATTGATATTCTTTTATGCAGCTACTTATATAAGAATTTGGTACTTTTTTATTTTTTACTTTGATTAAACATAATTAAAGTCATCTATTCTACATTAGCTATTAGAAACTGGCTTAATCAATATTCTTACCTCTTGGTTGTCTAGTGTATTTGCAGAGCTGGCTTTAGAAGGAGTGTGGAACACAAAAGGACTGTGATTCAATTTTAAATTTTTGTGTAGTGTTGGGGATTGAACCCAGGGCCTCACACTTGCTGAGCAAGCACCCTACCAGTGAGCTATATCCCCAGCCTTTGAGGCTCAAGTTTTAACATGTGCACCAAGAAATAAAAACTGAAATCCATTCTCTAAGAAGATTTCTACGTCTTAGCAGTATTGCAAGAACTATTTATTTTTAGATATTTCTTTTATAATTTATTATGCTATGAATTAGTAAATACTGCTCTGCTGTACACAGGGAACACTTGTCATCCAAGACCAGCCAATTTGTGGGTCTGCTAAAAGCATGAATTTCTCCAAAAAAGGAAACCAGTTTTTATTTTATGAATTGTATAATACTTGCAGATTAAAATTTAGTAGGGTTAGAACAAATTAAAAAAATGTATTGGACTGGGGTTGTGGCTCAGTAGTAGAGTGCTTGCCTAGCATGTGTGAGGCCCTGGGTTCAATCATCAGCACCACATTTAAATTAACAAAGTAAAAAATCCATTGGCAACTAAAAAATATTTTTAAAAATACACACACACACACACACACACACATATATATATATATATATATATATATATATATATCTTAGTAGGTAAAGATGGTGGTTTGAGTTGATTTTAAATAGTATTTTTTAAGGCATCATTCATCATTCCTTGCTAGATGTAGGAAAAGGTAAGATTAGAGGCCTTTAAACTAGTTTCAACTATTTGAAACCCATCTTGTCTTTGCTTTTCCTCCTAGGAAGCCACAGCTTCTCCAGGGAGTCTATGCCATGGGCTTCAATCGACCATCCAAGATACAAGAGAATGCGTTACCCATGATGCTTGCTGAACCGTGAGTGCAGACCCAAGACCCCTCTTCCCAATCTGATTTAACTGAAATTAAATTTAGCTTTTATTATCTGAGTACAAAATGGGTAGTTTGGGGCAACATGTTTCTTCTGGAAAAGAGCTTGGGCAAGTACTGAGAACATGGATTTAGGCATAGTTACTGTCTTTCCCGTTTAGCACTAAAGACTAAGAGTGCATTATTTTATACAGTTTTAAAAGTTGGGGGAGTAGTGGTTGTTGTTACAGGGAATTGAACCCAGAGGTGCTCTACCTCTAAGCTATACCCCCAGCTCTTTTTTAAAATTTTTTATTTTGAGAAAGGTTCTTTCTAATTTGCTGAGGCTGACCTTGAACTTGTGATCCTTTTGCCTCAGCCTCCTGAGTTGCTGGGATTACAGATATGTGCCACCATGCCCAGCTAAACTTGGGTTTTTAAAAATTGAATTAGCTAGAGTACGAAGAGCCTTATCCTACTAAATACTTTAATACAAGTAATATTACTTACCTTGCCAAGTAATAAAACAAGGCTCCAGGCCTGGGGTTGAAGCTCAGTGGCAGAGCGCTTGCCTTGCACATGGGAGGCTCTGGGTTCGATCCTCAGCACCACATAAGAAAATAATAATTAAAAATAAAGATGTTTATTTAAAAAAAAAAAAAAAGACTCCAGTTGATAGTCAGTGCTCCTGTCTTAACTGTCCCTTCATGTCCTCTCCCACCCCCTCCAAAGTGAGCTCCATCCTGAAGTGCATCATTATCCCTCAGGTTTCTTTATACTTTCACTAGATATGTATATGTCGCTAAACTCTGAGGAATAGTTTGCACATTATTAAAGTTTAAATGGTGTCATAGTTTATGCAGTATAATGTTTTTTCAACATTATAGCTGAACATTTTAGTTTTCTTTTTTTCTTTCTTTGGTTGTTCTTGGGGTGGGTGGCTACTGGGGATTGAACCCAGGGATATTTTACACTGAGCCACATCTCCAGCTCTTTTATTTACTTAAAAATAATATTTTAGTTATAGATGAACACAATACCTTTATTTTATTTATTTACTTTTTGGGGGGCGGGGAGGTATCAGGGATTGAACTCAGGGGCACTGGACCACTGAGCCACATCCCCAGCCCTATTTTGTATTTTATTTAGAGACAGGGTCTCACTGAGTTGCTTAGCGCCTTGCCGTTGCTGAAGCTGGCTTTGAACTCAAAATTCTCCTGTCTCAGCCTCCTGAGCTGCTGGGATTACAGGTGTGCACCACTGCGCCCAGCTGTTTTATTTATGTACTTTTATGTGGTGCTGAGGATTGAACCTAGTGCCTCATCACGTGCTAGGAAAGTGCTCTACCACTGAGCTATAACCCCAGCCCCTTATTTTTTATTTTGAAACAAGGTTATACTATGTTGTTTAAGACTTCATTAAGTTGCTTTCCCCCACCCCCATTAAGAAAGAATAGACAGGCATATTTATAATCCCAATGACTTGAAAGGCTGAGGCAGGAGGATTGAAAGTTTGAGGCCAGATAGGACAATTTAGTGAGATTCTGTCTCAGTAAAATTTGAATGAAAGGACTGTGAATGAGCTCAAGTTAAGAGTGCTTGCCTAGGGCTAGGGTTGTGGCTCAGCTGTAGAGGGCTCACCTACCATGCGTGAGGCACTGGGTCCGATCCTCAGCACCACGTAAAAATAAAATAAAGATATTGTGTCTGCCTATAACTAAAAAAATGAATATTTAAAAAAAAAAGTGCTTGCCTAGTATGTGGAAGGCCCTGGTTTATCCTCGGTGCTGCATTACCCACCCACCCACCCCCCCCAAAAAAAAAAAATTAACAAGATGTGAAAAGGGAAAGTGCAAAAGGAGCCAAGATCCAAGACACATTATGGCTCAGCAGAAAATGGGGACTTGTCTGGCACAGATCTGCTCTGTACTTTTGATTTCCCTGGAGCCCTTGGGATATAAAACTAGGGCACTTTAGTTATGCTAGAGTCAAGAATGAGGATTTGCGTGTGTTTGTGTGTGTGTGTGTGTCAACCCATCTAAAACAATCATTATTTCCTTGACTATTTAAATTTTTAAATAACATATAAAAATATGTTAAAGTAATTTGCATTCAATGCAGAAGATCTAGATAATACAGAGAAGCATAAAGAGGGACATATTCCTTCTACCCAGAAAGAACATTTTGATATTTTATGTTCAACCAATATTTATTTCTTTTTTGCTCTTTGTCAATCCAGCCCACAGAACCTGATTGCCCAGTCTCAGTCTGGCACTGGAAAAACAGCTGCCTTTGTCCTGGCCATGCTTAGCAGAGTAGAACCAGCAGACAGATACCCTCAGGTGAGGGCTTGGAAGCCTGGGGGTGGGGGTTTGCCTGCCCTGGGAAGGAGCCATTTGGTGGGAGGATTAATGAGAACCCTGACCTTTACTGACAGCCTAGGCCATGGCTCAGGCAGAACAGATTAACATACAAGGCCTCAACCTAGTAGAATTCATTTGAAAGCAGCATCTTACAAAGGCCTCCACCATGCCATGGATCCCATCAAGCTAGGGCTCCCTACTGAAAACTTCAGTCCACTATTGGAAAGTAGGAGGTTGTGACTCCCTGCATTGTTCAAGTCATAATAACTACATACTTGTGTTAGAACCTATTTTCTGTTACTAAACTCATCCTGTATGATTTTTCTGTCAGTGTCTCTGCCTCTCCCCTACATATGAATTGGCACTTCAAACAGGAAAAGTGATTGAGCAGATGGGCAAATTTCATCCAGAACTAAAGCTTGCTTATGCTGTTCGAGGCAATAAATGTGAGTATGGGGAATGAGATCCAAACAGTGAGCAGTGGGGGAAGATAGCTGCATATTTGGATTTTGAAGCTGAGAACATATTCAGCTTTTGAGGGTACAAAGAATTTTTTCTTTTTCTTTCTTTTCTTTTCTTTTTGCACCAGAGATCAAAACCAGGGCCTTGGGCTGGGGTTGTGGCTCAGCAGCAGCAGCAGCACACTCGCCTAGCATGTGTGAGGCCCTGGGTTCGATTCTCAGCACCACATAAAAATAAGTAAACAAAATAAAAGTATTGTTTCCAACTATAACTAAAAATAAATATTAAAACAACAACAACAAAAGAAAAACAAAAAACAGGGCCTTGCTCATGCCAGGCATGTATTCTACCCCTGAGCCACATCTCCAGCTCATATTCAGCTTTTTAGATCAGTCTCACCCTAGTGCTTTTACTGTGTCTGTTTAAATACTTGCTGATGTGTAAGCTGTACTTTCCACTCCCCTGCCTCAGTCCTGGGGATCAAACCTAGGGCCTTGCACATGCTAGGCAAGTGCTGTACCATTAAGCTACATCCCTGTTCCTCCTCTCTAGTTTTAAAAAAAATTTCAGTTGTTAAACAAAAGCTCATGAAGTTCCTAGAGTCTTCAGTTCTTCATTGACAAGATGGAATTTTGAGTTTGGCATCCATAGTTCTGGATCTACCTAGTAAAGAGGTATTGAATTAGCAGGACTGGGGATGGTAGGTTGGGGTCAGATCCCTTCCATTAACTGTATGAATCAGCCCTAATAAGAGGAAACTGAGAGCATGTATAGTTAATACTTTCATACTCAAATCAGAAATCCCTCCTTCAATTCTTCTATGTGTGCTGTAGAAAGTATGGGTTAAAGTGAAGAGGGGAGCATGGGAGGATTTGAAAGATTCCTTAGGAAATGGGTCATTAGAAAGTATCAGAATAGGGGATGGGGTTGTGGCTCAGTGGTAGAATGCTTGCCTAGCATGCACGAGGTACTGGGTTTGATCCTCAGCACCACATACATGTAAAATAAAGATATTGTGTCCACCAAATAAATAAATAAATAAATAAGAAAAGAAAGTATCAGAATATGTAGAACTTCTACAAATCAATAAGAAAACAATCAATCTACTAGGAAAATGGACAGAAGAGGCCCAATTGAACACCCACTGCACAAAAAGGAATTCAGATGTCTAATAGACATGAAAAGATGATGAGCCTAATTGGGCTTCTGAGAAACAAAGAAATGGAAACCTTATGCCCCTCTAAGCTGAGAAAAAATTAAAATATCTGATAATACTAAATATTTGTGAAGACAGAACTGAAGTGCACGCACACTCCTGGAAGGGAGTATACATTGGTATAGTCGTTTTAGGAAATAGTTTGGCATTACAAAATCCCCAGCAATTGGGGAGGCTGAGGCAGGAGGATCACAAGTTCAAAGCCAGCCTCAAAATATAAAATAAAAAGGGGCTGAGGATGTGGCTCATGGTTTAGCACCTCCAGATCAATCCCCAGTACCAAAAATAAAAAAACCTTGGGGCTGAGGTTGTGGCTCAGTGGTAGAGCGCTTGCCTAGCATGTGTGAGGCACTAGGTTCGATTCTCAGCACCACATGTAAATTAATAAATAAAGGCCCATCAACAACTAAAAATATGTATATATTAAAAAATAAAAATTAAAAAAAAGAAAACAAAAATTGAAAAGAGAGATATTCCCTTGTCCCCAGCAGTTTATAATTGCTTATATAGAGCAGCAGTTCTCAAGTTTTTTGGTTTAGTATTCTCTTACATTCAATATTATTGAGGAAAGCATTTTTTATTTTTGTAGGTTATATTTATTGCTATTAACCATAGTAGAAGCTAAAACTGAGAAATTTTAGAAGTACTTATTAATTTAAAAATAACAGCAACAAACTCACTACATATAATGTAAATAATTTTTTCTTAAATACTTTTTAGTTGTCAGTGGACCTTTATTTTATTTATTCATATGCAGTTACTGAGCATCAAACCCAGTGCCCCACACATATTAGGCAAGTGCTCTACCACTGAGCCAAAACCCCAGCACTATAAGAAGTATATTGCCAATACAAAATTAATAAGAATGACATTCTTTTTTTTTTTAATATTTACTTTTAGTTGTAGTTGATTGGACACAATATCTTTATTTTATTTATTTTTATATGGTGCTGAGGATCGAACCCTGGGGCCTTGCACGTGCTAGGTGAGTGCTCTACCACTGAGCCACAACCCCAGCCCTGACATTCTTATTTTACATCTTTTAGCAAATCTTCTTATATTTGCTCATGTATTTGTTTTTAAATTTATTTATCTATCTGTTTATTTTTGCAGTGCTAGGAAATTAAGCCCAGGGCTGCTCTACCACTGAGCTACACGCCCAGCCCTTTTTTTTCTTTTTTTTTGGTACTGGGGCTTGAACTCAGGGGTATTTTATTTAGAGATCGGCTCTCACTGAGTTGCTAATAAGCACCTCGCTATTGTTGAGGCTGGCTTTGAACTTGCTATCCTGGCTCTTCTTTTTCTTTTTAAGACAGTCTCACTCTGTTGCCCAGGCTGGCTTCAAACATATGATTCTCCTTCTCAGAGACCTGGGTAGCTGGGATTACAGGCATGTGCCACCATACCCAGCTAATTTAAAAAAATTTTTGTGTGTGTGTGTGTGGTATTGGGGATTGAACCCATGGGTGTTCTACTACTGAACTACATCACCCTTCCCTTTTATTTTATTTTGGGACAGGGTCTTGCTAACTTGCTAAGGCTGGCTTTGATCCTCCTGCCTCAGCCTTTCAAGTAGCTGGGACCAAAGGCAAGTGCTTCACACCTGGCTTTTTTCACTTTTAATAATATGTTTTGGAGATTATTTCATCTCAGTTCCTAAGTATCATTGGTGTCATACATTGGGTGTATCTTATCTTACTCATCATGTTTTGTGTGTATTCTGTTTATTTATTTATTTTTTAGTTTTAGTTGGACACAATACCTTTATTTATTTTTATGTAGTTCTGAGGATCAAACCCATGGCCTTGCATGTGCTAGACAAGTGCTCTACTGCTGAGCCACAACCCCAGCCCTTGTGTGTATTCTTGCACATGTTACTTCACACATAAACTGTACTTGCAGGATTAATTTCTAATAGTGGAAGTGTTGGTCAGTGGGCACATAAATTAGAAAATAAGATAAATGATTGTAACAGTTTCAATTCTAACCAGCTATAGTTTAGGATAATGTAGTATTTTGTTAATTTAAGAGCTCCATATTTTAGGAAAATAAGCTACACAAATAGAATGTCCAGAGACCAGAGAATAGAGCAATAAATTTTGCCAGTTGACAAATAAATTTTGTCACAACTACCAATAAAGGAGGAACTAAGTGAGTTATGGGTGAATGGATGATAGAAAAGGAAGAAGAGTAATCATAAAGAGAATTGTATGATGTTAAGTTATAGGAGAATGTACAACATTTATTGAGGGTCCATAGCATGGAATTTAATCATGATCACAATGCCATTCTACTCGTTTCACAGTAGAAGAAACTAAGATTTGAGACAACACTCAGGTGTGTTTTGAAATCTGAAATTAATTTTTTCTACTAGTCCTGGAAGGATAGGCAAGACTTTGATTTCCAGAGCTGGCTTTGCCTATTAAATACCCACAGAAAGGACTGGGGATATGGCTCAAGTGGTAGCGCGCTCGCCTCGCACGCATGGGGTGCTGGGTTCTATCCTCAGCACCACATAAAAATAAAATAAAGATATTGTGTCCACCTAAAGCTAAAAAATACATATTAAAAAAAAAGAAAAGAAATACCCACAGAAAACATTTCATCTCCACAGTGGAAAGGGGTCAGAAGATCAGTGAGCAGATTGTCATTGGTACCCCTGGGACTGTCCTGGACTGGTGCTCCAAGCTCAGGTTCATTGACCCTAAGAGGATCAAGGTATTTGTTCTGGATGAGGCCGACGTGATGATAGCCACTCAAGGCCACCAAGATCAGAGCATCCGCATCCAGAGGTAAGAACTAGAGTGAGGAGGAAATTCAGATGCCCCTCTTGCTTCTGTTGCATTCTTTCTTTCTTTCTTTATCTTTTTCTTTTTTTTTTTAATATTTTTTAAGTTGTATTGTGTACAATTTTATTTATTTATTTTCAAATTATTTATTGTTTTATTTATTTATTTTTATGTGGTGCTGAGGATTGAACCCAGGGCCTCACACACGTTAGGCAGGTGCTCTACTACTAAGCCATTAACTCCAGCCCGCTGTTGCATTTTTTACTCTGATATTTGAAAAAGCAATTGTTTGGTGGGCCATTTTCACGTCAGCACTGACCATCCTCCCAGCCTGGGTTGGGAAAGGAGATCTGGGACCCTAACCCACCCCTATGCCACCCTGGACCTGCTTCTTCTCTCTATCCCAGGGATGCTGTATAAAGTGCCTGGGTCTAACCTTGCAGGATGCTGCCCAGGAACTGCCAGATGTTGCTTTTCTCTGCCACCTTTGAAGACTCTGTGTGGAAGTTTGCCCAGAAAGTGGTCCCAGACCCTAACATTATCAAACTGAAGCGTGAGGAGGAGACATTGGACACCATTAAGCAGTATTATGTCCTGTGCAATAACAGAGACGAGAAGTTCCAGGCCTTGTGCAACCTGTATGGGGCCATCACCATCGCACAAGCCATGATCTTCTGCCATGTGAGTAGCACCTGCAGGGCTGCCCCGCCCCCTTCCCCTTTAGGAAAATAAGCTACACAAATAGAATGCACAGCTGCACCTCTATGCTGAGGAGGAGCAGGTTCCAGTGTGTGCCAAGAAAGGAAGTAGTTTTTGAAGAAATAAGGAGACAGTTTCTGAGATACATAGGGTAAACAGAGCTCCCTGTACTGTATATCTTATTTGTACGTGATATGTTATTGGAAAACGTGAGAATAAGCTGATATTTGTGGAAAAATAAGAAATTTAACAAGATGGGTGGTTATAAAATTAATATACACAGTTTCCCAACTGTAAACAAGAAACATTTGAAAAATGGAAGAATAAATCACACACATAAAGCAAAATGAACAAATTAGGAGTAAATATTTAAGATCTCTGGGGGCTGGGGCTGTGGCTCAGAGGTAGAGCGCTCGCCTACCATGCGAGAGGCACTGGGTTCGATCCTCGCACCACATAAAAATAAAATGAAGATATTATATCCACCTATAACTAAAAATAAATATTTAAAAAAATATTTAAGATCTCTGAAGAACACTTCAAGATGATACTAGAGGCTGGGTGCAGTGGCATACACCTGTAATCCCAGTGACTTGGGAGGTAAAGACAGGAGGATTGCAAGTTCGAGACCAGCCGGAGCAATTTAGTGAGGCCCTGAACATTGTAGCAGGACCCTATCTCAAAAAATAAAGAGCTGGAAATATGACTCAGTGCCACTGGGTTTAATCCCTGTTACCTTGAAAAAAGAAAATGGTACAAATGCCATGGATATGAGAATATAAGACTAAGACAAGTCATTCTCTTATTGAAAGATCTGTAACTCTGATTAGCTTTGCCTTTTTTTTTTTTTTTAAAGCAGTAAAACCTCTCCCCATCTCCACTTCAGATTAAAACATTTTGAAAAAAAAAAAAAGTGGAAAAAATTTAAGAAGTACTTTCATACCCCACACTGGTCAACATCTACTTTTCTCTGTCTTTATGTCCTTTTTTTTTTTTTTTTTTTTGGGTGGTGCTGGGGATTGAACCCAGGGCCTTGTGCACGCGAGGCAAGCACTCCACCAACTGAACTATATACCCAGCCCCCTGTTTATTTTTATTTTAATTTTGAGACAGGCTCTTCTAAGTCACTGGCCTTCAGCTTGGTATGTTTCTGCCTCAGCCTCCAAAATTGCTGGGATTACAGATGTTAGCCACTGAACCTGGGGTGTTTTTTCTTTTTGCTGAATCATTTAAAGTTAGTTGTAGACATCATATACTCAAAATGTTTACTAAGAATGAGATATTCTCCCACTTGACCACGGTACCACCTTCATACCCTTAACAATGATACAATAACATTTTCTCAAATACAGTTCATATTCTACCTTCTTCAGAAATGTTCTTCATTGCTTTTTGTTGTATTAAACCTATAAGTCAACCCAGGATTGCTTACATTTAATTGTCATATCTCTTGAGACTCCCTTAATCCAGAACCATCCCCTGACCTTTCTGAATGCCTTTCATCACATGGACATCTTAAGAGTCTAGGCTCATAATCATAATTTGTTTGATTTTCTCTCTTGTTTTGTTGTTTTGGTGGGTTGGCTTCTGTTTTCTGTGGGGGGGTTTTATTTGCAGTGCTGGGGATTGAATCCAAGGTCTAGCCAGCTACTCTGCCATTGAGCTATATCCCCAGCCCTTTTACTTTTTGTGATAGCCTCTTGCTACATTGCTGAGGCTGGCCTTGAACTTATGATCCTCCTGCCTCAGCCTCCTAAATAGCTGGGATTATAGACATGGGCTTCTGTGTCTGACTTTCTCCCTTGTGATCTATATAAGTTAAATATTTTTATAGTAGTATGGAGCTGAGATTGTAGCTCAGTGGTAGAGTGCTTGCCTTGCATGTGTGAGGCACTGGGTTCGATCCTCTGCCCACAAAAAAAAAAAAAAAAGATGTGTCAATCTGAAAATCTATATAAAAATATTTTTGTAGTATGAATGTTTTTGTAAAATTACTACTCAGGTGACATAGTTACTTCCTATTGTACCACATCAGATTGGCAGTTTTAGGAAATTTAACCCTTCAGGTAGAGTCTTCCAGATCAAAAACAGTCTCTTTAGGTACCTTCATTTCTCAAATAATTTTCCTTCCAGACCCGCAAAACAGCTAGTTGGTTGGCAGCAGAGCTCTCAAAAGAAGGCCACCAGGTGGCTCTGCTGAGTGGAGAAATGATGGTGGAGCAGAGGGCTGCTGTGATTGAGCGCTTCCGAGAGGGCAAAGAGAAGGTTCTGGTGACCACCAATGTGTGTGCTCGTGGTAAGCAGAGACTGTCCTGGAATCCTAGGCTCAGGCATCCAGCCCTGTTAGCAAGAGGAAGTCCTTATATCCAGGAGACTTGGATGGTCTCTAGGAGCCCTCTGGGGTTGGTGGGGATAATCCTTTTCAGGAGAGATGGGATTTCCCTTCGGGTGATGGGAATTTATAGAAGCCAGCAGTCATGCCTAGGTACAAGGAGACACTCAAAACAGAGTCAGCTCTTTCCAGGGCATCTCTAGGTGTTTGGCTGTGGCTGTGTCTTCAGACTCTTGCGTGTGTAGCAAAGACTTGCTTTGTGATTTCATGGTTTTAGTACCTGTAAGGTTCTGGTACGTAGTCCAATATGTATCCTCTCTTGTGCCTGCACCCCAGAGGTGACCTGCTGCAGACTCTCCCTCCACCAGAGTGGGTGCATGGCTGACCATGTCTTTGGCCCTGACTCCTCTGTGTCCCTCCTTTGTGCAGGCATCGATGTTGAACAAGTTTCTGTCGTCATCAACTTCGATCTTCCTGTGGACAAGGACGGGAACCCAGACAACGAGACCTACCTGCACCGGATTGGGCGCACTGGCCGCTTTGGCAAGAGAGGCCTGGCCGTGAACATGGTTGACAGCAAGCACAGCATGAACATCCTGAACAGAATCCAGGAACATTTTAGTGAGTCCCCAGAGGGTCTCCTGCAGGCACCCCCTTTGTGGTGGATGTGGGGAAAGGGGAAGTTTTCCTGTGGCCCTGAGAGAGGCCTTTGTTCCTACACATGCTCCCTCCCTTCCCTTCTACCATTGGCTGGATGGGTGTTCTCAAGGAACAAACATAACGCTGGGGGCTTAGGGGCTCTAATGACGATTCCCCTGTGGCCAGGCTGAAGGGCCTGGGCTTTTGGATGTTGGTCAGAGCTCCCTGCTCAGGCTCTGGAAGCCTTTGGGGTTAAGAGGAAGGAGCATTGTAGTGGCCCAAAGAGCGGCCCATTCTTGGGCAGGGTCTTGTATCTTCCCTTTTCCTACCACACTGTCCTTGTGGGTGACTTCAGCTGTGTCTCCATGGCAACCCCATTTTGATCTCTCTTCACATCTTTCTTTTCCCCCCAGATAAGAAGATAGAAAGATTGGACACAGACGATTTGGACGAGATTGAGAAAATAGCCAACTGAGAAGCTCTACCAGCCGCTGGTGCCCGCCCTCGGGGCTGCCCCTGCCCAGGAGACGAGTGCTTTCATGGCACAGGCCTCAACTGTCACCACAAAGACAAAGGCATGAGGAGAGAAGCTACCTACCTCATTTTAAATTATGTTTGGACTTGACAAAAATGTGTGCAAATAATGGGAGACAATTGAAATTTTGCATTTTGGAAATAGTCCTAAATTCCCCCCTTTTAAAATATGATTTTCCCTATCTTTATAGTAATCTGGTTGCTGATGGTAATCACTTATCCAGGGCCTCCCTACCTACCGTCTTTCTGGCAGGGGGGCTTAGGACCAGCCTACAGCCCTTAAGAAATGACAGGTAGATGTCCTCAGGAGAGGCAGGGCAAGACATGAGTATTGTCCCACACCATGGGTGGAGTGAAGCCGGAGGCTTCTGCACTGCCCCTCTCCTGTACTTGTTGTGAATGTTTCTCCTACCCTCAAATATCATCCTGCTGGTTGCTTTACCTTTGCTGTCTGTCTGCATTGGAAGCTTCCCTCTTTCTCCCTGATGAACACCATGGCTCCTTTTATGAACTTGAGATTTGGGAAGAAGCATGGAAGTCAGTGAGATTGTTTTGGCACGAGTGGTCAAATTCTTTGAGGATCTGGGCCTGCTTTCCCCTTTCTATTTCTCCAAATACTGTGGGTCCTGGTTGTGGCCACCAGGAGACTTGGCCCAGTTAGCTAGTTCTTATCCATGGGGTGTCATGCGGTGCCTGGAGCTGAGCAGAGTTTGGAAAGGAAGTTGTGACCAAGTGAAACTCTAATTATGCTGTTATCCATAATAGTGGACTTTTTTGGGTACTTAATTCATACATTATATGTATGAATAAGGACAGATAAATTATATGCATCATTCATTATAAGAAATTTTAAAGTAATTATGAGAAAGGCTTTACTAATCATGATTTATTTGTATTTTTCTGCTTATTAGACTAATATATGCTCATTAAAAATATGTGCATCTATATATAATGTGAAAATGCTCCCTGCCCTTCAGTAGGGGGTCATATTGCCTTCTATGCAAGAGCAACCCAACTTTCTTTTGCAGAAGTATGATTGTGCTCTTTGTGCAATTATGCAGTCTGCTTTTTTACTGGTCACCATGTCTTAGACATGTTGACCCATCTAGCATACATCTACTTCACTCTGGAAAATGGCATCACTCCAGCGTGTAAGCAGTCCTGGCATTTATATCCTGGTGGCTCCAATGATAGGCACTGGAAGTTTCCAGCGTGCAAGGTTACCCACAGTGCCACAGTGAATACTTTGTCCTTGTCTTGAAGCACTGGTAAGAATTGCTCTAGGATATATTCCTGGAAGAAGAACTGCTGGGTCAAAGAATGGAAATATTTAAATTCCTAATACATTGCCAGTTATTCCTGCCAAAAAGCTTTTTCCTATTTGTTATTACAGTAATACAAAAATACTTATTTACTCTTACCTACTTGCCAACTTTATTTTTAAAATGCCAGTCGGAGTAGCAAAATGTCATTGCTATTTTTTTTTTTAATTTACTGAGCCTTGGCAAATTTATAGTTTATTGGATAATTTTATTTTCTCTTTTTGAAGCTGCCCATTCTTGCTTTACTATTGGGGTATAAGTCCTTAGTGGGTTTTAGCTCCCTGTTCATGCTGGGGCAATTAGACTTTGTTTAAGTGATGGATGTTTGTTTTCTTAGTGTTGTTTTGTTTTGTTAATTTTTTTTAGTTGTTGATGAACCTTTATTTATTTTTATGTGTTGCTGAGAATGGAACCCAGTGCCTCACACATGATAAGCAAGTGCTCTATCACTGAGTTACAATCCCATCCCCTTCTTCATGTTTCTTTACAAGTTCATTTTTTTAAACATGCCACACAAAAGTTTATTTTTAAGTGGGTAGGGATGGAACCCACTGTACATGCTAGGCAAGTGCTCTACCACTGAGCTATCCCCAGTCCAAAAGTAAAATTTCAATGTTAAGATTCCATATTTTTGAGAAATTTGGATTTTATGTTATGACTAGAAAAATTTTCTTCATACTATAAAAAATTTACTCATATTTCCTGTATAGACAATTGTTGAGCAATACATTTTTTTTTTTAGTTCTGTTGACCTTAAAATGTCATTAGCTGGACCAGGCACAGTGGCCACAAGCTTGTAATCCCAGCTATTCAGGAAGCTGAGGCAGGAGGATTACAAGTTAAGGCCAAGCTGGGCAATTTAGCAAGACCCTGTCTCAAAAAAGTTTAAAAAGTAGCTTAGTGGTAGAGTGCTTGCTTAGCATATGCAAAGCCCACAGTTCCATCCCCAGGATGCAAAAAATAAATTTAGGCAGACATGTGGTGTGAGTTGCAGTCTCAGCTATTCTGAAGGCTAAGGCAGGAGGATTGATCCCCTTCCAGGGATCAGCCTGAGCAACATAGTGAGAACTCAACTTAGAAACAAGTCATTGTAGGACTGGGGATGTGACTCAGTGCTCCTGTGCTCAATCCCTGGTACCAAAAAAAAAAAAAAAAAGTCATTGTTTTGTCCACTGTTTGGCTGTGGGAGATTTTTGTTCCATAGAGGGTGAGTGTGTGGCAAAGCTGTTGCTGTTGGTGCATGGCCAGAGCTTCATGGCCCCTGCATGAATGGACAAGAACAGAAAAGGTATCCGTGAGAATGGATGTGTGTGAGGTTGTGAAAGACTGAGGGCCTTATGGGAATGTAGTGTAGGAGAGAGGATGCAAGTGCACAGCACAGCTGGGCATCTGGGAGAACTTCAAGAAGGGGTGAGGGAGGAGCAAGGTTACAGCAACAGGCAAGGGGAAGTGGTGTGGTGATGGGGGCCAGGCCTGCATGGGAAGAAGTGGGGGGCGGCGGAGAAGACAGGAAGCCAGACAGTGGAGCAACAGGTCTGCTCTGAGCCACAGAGCAGTGGTATACAGAGTGCGAAAACAAAACTACCATCTGACTCAAAAACAAGTTGAGTGTTTCTGTGGATGAGCAATGGAGCAGAAATGCCAAGTGGTGGGCAGGTCTGAAGCTGAACACTTGCTGGGCCCAGTAGAGAAGTGGACTAGGCTGTCAGATAACTGCTCTGAAGGCCAAATCCGAGCAGCCCCACTGCTTGGAGTCAACTCAGTACACAGTACTTTCCTGCCCCTGTTCAGGAGTCCACCCATGCCTTATTTACTTTATGTATTTATTTGAGTCATTTTTGTAATGAAGATGCATTACAATTTTAATGTATAAAAAGAAAAGGTAGGGCTGGGGTTGTGGCTCAGTAGTAGAGTGTTCACCCAGTTCACATGAGGCACTCACTGGGTTCAATCCTCAGCACCACATAAAAATAAAATAAAGTAAAAAATAAAAAGCATGACACTCAGACCCTTCCAAGTGCAGTTACCAAATGATTTTTCTACTTCACAAGCTCTTTCCTGTAGAGAAACCATCCTGCCAGAAACTGCCTGCATTATTCTCAGGAGCAGAAACAGGAAAGGTATTCATTCTGTATCCTGAGGGCCATGTTGGTCTTGATACCAATGGTTCAGCAAGCTTCAGGGGCAGAGAGGGATCCTCTTGCATTTTTGTGTGTTGGTTGTTACCCAGGCATAGACTCACTGCAGAAGCTGTTTTTTTTTTTTTTTTTTCTGAAAGAATGAGAAGGAACATTGCTTTTTAATTCACATTCAAAAAAGAATAATTTGATTTTTGAAAATATAGTTTTAGGACTTTATCCTTCCCCTCAGTTAATAGAATGATGCTTTCTTATTTCACTGAACAAATCACAGGAGATAGCTCCTTGCCTGCTGAATGGTAGTCTGCTACGGTTCCTTCGGCAGGTAAAATACTTAATTGCTTCCCTTTGAAATATAGCCATCATACCTGCAGGTGTGTATTACCCACCCCACCCCAGGCCATAAAGCTAACACCTGCTCTCCAAAGACCTACCTACTGTTTTAGATTGTATATTGCTTACCCAAATATGGCACCTCTTCCAGATGAACAGCACATACCCCTGAGAAACTGAGGTATAGCCATGGGACTTATTTGGCACCAAGGAAATGTGAACTTGGCAGAAGCTGTAAAGAGGCAAGTGTGGTTCTGGAGGTTCCCTTTTTCTTGCTCTTGAGATCCATTCTAGATGGTGCCACAGCACACCCATAACCCTCAACCCCAGGAAATGCCTGATCCTCTGGCCACCCTAATACTAGTCCTCACAATTGACAGGCCCCATTGTATGCAAAATTCCCAAGGAGCTCCTCCCATTGATCCACTACTTCAGAAGAGTGAACAGTGACAGTCTTTCATTTCCAAATTTTAAAAGTCTTAATCATGACAGAGGGGGGGTTAAATAAACTAGATGGAGAAATACAAAACCAAAACTTTTAGAAACCAGGGAATTGAGGAAGAAAATGGCATCTGCTATGTAGATGATGAAATATCACACTTCTCACAACCTAAGGTAAGAGGATAAAAAACTCAAAATAGGAATAATTACAGCCTTAGATGAGGTATTTAACAAAAATGTTGGGAACACACACATATACAAATAGGTGAAAAAAATATCTTTAACAATAAGGGGAGCTAGAAATTATGAAAAAAAATCATCTAAAAACAAACTACAAAGTTATAGAAAATATAAAATCTGTTTGAATACATCAAAAAGCTACTACTATTAGGAATTTTTACATTTAGTCCTATGATCCACTTAACATTTATTTTGATGAATGGTTTAAAGTATAGATCTAATTTTGTCTTTTCCCAATGGTTACCCAGTTATTACGTGGAAATTTATCTAAGCATTTATCTTTTCCTTAGCAACCTTCTAGGCTGGGGGAGGTACTCTGCCTCCTGATGCTCTCCCAATGGCAGGTAGGCTGTGTGTGCCCTGTGTAGAACCTGCAGTGAAATGCAGGCCCCTGTGGTATGGTGGGAAGAGCAGGCTACAGATTGATGAGCCATGCCAGAGCAAGGAGGAAAACCCCCGAGAGATGAATTCATCCCAGAGAGATGGAGATGGCCCAGCTTTGGTATGTCCAGATGCACTGAGCCTCTCATGGATACTCTGCATTTATGAAAGTTCCTGCCAGGAATTCTAACAGATTTCTCTTTTGGAGAAAACTGAAGCGGTGGCAATGGGTTCATTTTTAACCAAAACACTCAGATTTAAGTGTCTTGGGGACTTGAAAGAGTGTGGTTCATGAAACCAGGCTCACATGTAAGAGGTGGATATCTGGGAGCCATTTTGCTTTCCCTTCATATCTTCAACATCTTTAGTCATTATTTGGTCACAGCTCCTCACTCCCAGATAAACCTATGATCATACACAGAACAGATGACTACAGGTTTTTTGTTTTTGTTTTTTTGGTTCTTTTTAATTCAGAAAGAGAAAGGGAAGGAAATAAAAAAAAAAGTTTAACTATTGCAGAAAAGGAGATCTGGGCTGGGTGCTGGGACCTACCTCTTCCAAATGAGGATTAATGATTTAAACAAAAGAAAAACAACAAAAAAAAATAAATTATTCTGCTCAATACTGTTTGGCATAATTGCATTGTTTTTCCTCTTCTCAACACTCAAAACAGCCTCTTGAGGAAGCACTAAAATGAGACTTGCAAGAACAGCTGGTACCTTGACTCTCCCAAATGGTGAGGGCACCCTGACAGGCATTCTACCACAGCCCTCGCCCCAGTTCACCCCACCACACCCACTCTCTATGCCTCCTGCTTTTGGAACTGCAAAGGAACTGACTCAATGAAAGTTCTTAAAATATTAATTTTTAGGTTCAATGCCCATTACCCTGTCCCAACCTCCATTCTTTCCAATGGATGACTGTTCCCCAGTCAACTAAAGCAACTGTACCAATGGCCAAAGGCTGCTAGTTTGTGTCCACTCACTAAGAAAAGGGTGGTATTCCTGACGTTACTTTTGGGAAGAGGGATCCTTTCTATGCTGTGAGGGCTTCACAGAAGCCCTTTCTCCCTGCTAAACATCCCCAACCCTGAAGGTGAGAAAACCATCAATAGCTTCAACTACTAGGGACTTGAGATGGGGCCAGTCATGTAAGTAGATTTCTAGTTGTAACCCCTGGTTGTTGGCTTCTAGCCCTTCTAGAGCTGGAAAGGAAAGTGGGTTAGAGAGAGGAGGCCGGAGGCAGCAGGCCAGGAGTGCGGGCAGTGGGGAGGCATGAGGACAGCAGCAGGTCCACCCCTCCCCAGGGACGCTCTGGGATGTCTGCAAGGTCTGCTTAGAATTGTGAAGGAATCTTGGTTGGGTGGCCATATCCGGCAGCTTTAGGTTAACTAAAGTATGAGCCCAAAGCAAATTCCACCCCCAAGCAAGAGGCTTGCTTCCTGCTCCTCTTTGGGGTGATAGGTGAAAGAAGGCGCATGCACAGGCAGCTGGGCTCTCCAGCCTCCTTCCCCACGGGGCTGTTCTCTCTCCCAAGGCCAAAGACCTGGGCATGTTGGGGGTGCGGGGAGGGAAAGGGAGAGAGGAAGTGGACCCAGAGAGAGAAGCAGGGCCCCAATACTAGGGCAAGTTTTCTGGTATTTTTCCAGAGCAACAGGTTGGCTGGTGAGGAGGCCAGGGGCTTAAGGAGAGCCACTAAAAAGGTTGTTGGTGAACAGTAGAAGCGAGGGCACGCGTGAGAAAGAAGCACCTTACATGTGACCTGACAGGGCTTCCTGGTTCCCTATCCAGTCCCTGACATCTCTGTTACGGAGTTAAGCCCTAGGCAAGGTCCACCCCGACAAGAGGCGAATACAATTTCCTAGTTTCTGGTGAGACACAAAATGCCCTGGTCAGAGGACATAGCAAAGGGCGGCCAGAGGCAGGGAGGGAGGAGGTGGAGGAGGGCCCCACGCGCCCGCTGGGTTTTCACCATGACCGAATTTTCTTTGGTGGGTTTGCACTCACCCATCTGGGCCTGATGGAGAAAGGACATGTGCAGTCTAAAATGCTCTCGGATTTGGGGACATAGCTTTTTTCCAGGGGTGAGGCACACTCTCTCCTGACCACCAGCCAGCCTCGGCTGACGACCCACGTCCCCGGACACGCCCAGGCCTGCAGCCCCTTCCCGCCATTTCCTCCTCGGCGCCCCAGGGGTAGCTAGGCCTGTCAGCGACAGGCCTTTCTCTGGTCGCGCCTGAGAACAGTACTCCATCGAGGCTCCAAGGAGCCTCTACTTAAAAAGAGGAAAATAAAACCTTATCCAAAAGCAGAAGGGATGGGAGATTGAGCGGCCGCCCGCCCGCCTCCGAAGGCCATTGATTGGAGGAGACGGGTCCCAGCGACGGAAATTCTCCTTGAGTCGCATGATTGGCTGGGAGAAACAGAAATTCCGCCCAGTTGCAGAGCTGATTGGTACCAGGCCTTAGCCGGCCCTCCAGTCTCATGATTGGCGGAGGACAGCAGGCACTCGCTGGGCTGCAGTATGATTGGTCCACACTTGGCCTGGCGTTGTTCCCGATTGCCTGGTTGACGCCCAAAGAGGGAGCGCGCCTCGGCACCCAGCGGCGGGGCAGGCAGGGTTGCGGCAAGGCCCGGCTCAATTGCCTCGGTAGACCTCGATCTTGCTGGCTTTGGCCAGCATGTCGATGATGTGGGCTTCGAAGTCCGCGTCGTGTACGCCCGTCTTCCGGAATTCGCCCGCGTACCGGTTATTCTCCCAGTAGTGGTGCCAGTTGCCCCGGCTGTCGGCCCCGAACCCGTACACGTTCACCTGCGGGGAAGGGCGGCGCAGGGTCACAGTAGGTCAGGGACCACGGTAAGGAAGGAGAAGGGGGCACCGCGACAAGACAGCTCCTTGAGGCTGACAGCTTATCTTTTCCCAGTGAGAAGGCACCCAGACGTAGGAAACACCCAGGAGGGACATTATGGACAGACTTGGGGTTGCAGGGGATGGCTCTTCCCTTTTCAGTTCTGCCTCCCCTCCAACCCTTGCTAACTTCCTCTTTTTTACCTTCCTCTTTTTTAAGATTTTTTTTTTCTGTGTGTGTGAGTGTGTGTGTGTGTGTGTGTGGTGGTGGTGGTGGTAGTGGTTGTGTGCTGGGGTTTGAACCTGAGCTACAGCCCCAGCCTTACATTTTTTGAAACACTACTTTTCTTTGAAAGCTCGTCAGATACTCAATACCATACATTGAACTTACTGGCAAAAGTGGGTGTGCCAGGCATGAGCACTGCCCTTGATGGCATAGTGAAATGTGGTTCTTTTGAGTAATTTTGTGTGTGTGTGTATGTGTGTGTGTTACTTGAAATCCAATCCAGTGCCTCAAGCATGCCAGGCAAGAGCTCTACAACTGAATTACATCCCCAGCCCTTTTAAAAAATGTTTTTATTTTGAAACAGGGTTTTGCTAAATTGCCCAGGCTGGCCCTAAACTCGAAATTTTTCTGCCTCTACCTCCATTTTAGATTACCACATCCAGCCTAACCTGCATTTTTAACAGAATAGGCCTAGGCTCAGGGCTGTGAGACACAGCCATCCCAGGTTTAAACTTGGGCTTTTCCCAAGTCAGACTGCAAGTCACTGGGAACTTTTTGCTTTTTAAGAGACAAGTCTTAAAAATTATCCAGGCTGGCCTCAAACCCCTGGACTCAAGGGATCCTCCTCTCCCAACCTCACCAGTAGCTGGGATTACAGAGGCCACCATGCTCAGCTCTATGATTGTGTGTGTATGTGTGTGCATGTGTGTGTGCACATACACTGTACTGAGAGTTGAACCTAGGGCCCGTGGGCAACACTACCACTGAGCTATATCCTTAGCCCTTTCAATTTAGAGACAGAGTCTTATTAAAAGTTGCCCAGGCTGCCCTCAAACTTTGTGATTCTCCTGCCTCAGTCTCCTGAATATCTGGAATTATAAGTATGTTCTTGGCTAACTCACATGGTTTCTGCTACAAAAATGCTTTCCTTGGGCTGGGACTGTGGCTCAGCGGCAGAGCGCTTGCCTTGCACATATGAAGCACTGGGTTCGATCCTTAGCAACACATAAAAATAAATAAAATAAAATAAAGGTATTGTGTCCATCTCAACTAAAAAAAATATTTTAAAAAAAGTGATTCCCTGTGGAGGCACTGTTAAGACCTGAGAAGGTCTGATTCCCTGTTTGTGAGTCCTGCTGTCCCTTCTACCTCCCTAGACTGGGACCTACCCACCTCATCACACACATGCAGGGCAAAGAAGAGCACCAGCATCCCTGTGGAAGGGTACCGCCCATGATGCTCTGTCCACCTGTCATGGATGTACTTGAAGAAGGCTGGGTTGTAGATCTGGACCTGGGAAAAAGTAACAGGCATATGAGAGGTTGTAGGGACCAGCCTCTGAGCAGCTACTACCAGTTCTACTGTGCTTGTCAGGAGACCTGAGCCTGAGTGCTCCTTGGTCCCTGTGGCCTCTTAAGAGGTCAGCAGATGGGAATTCTGAAGGTTCTGTAAGAGCACTGGGGCAAACCTGAACCACAGTAAGGTCAGCACTGTTTCCACAAAAAAGGGAAGAGAGGGAGAAATTACCTTTTCTTTGTCCACTCGAAGGAAAGACTTCACTGGGGCATAAGTGCTGCATGAGGACAGAAAGGTAACATTTCAGATGGCTTGTGGGACCCAGAGATCCCTCTTTTCCCCCTCAGGAGTGATGACAGCCTCACAACCTCCAGGCTGCTTCCAAAGTGCTCTTCTGTGGCATGTTCATCTGTGACAGTAACTTGATCAGAAACCTTCAGGGGCTCCCATGCCATTCGAGATAGAGTAGAGATGTTTTAGAGAAGCCCTGATGCCTTCGATAACCCAGCCACAACCCTTCTCCCTCAGCTGTCTTCTGGGAACCCTCCACTTCAGTTTAGCTGATCATTTCACACCTACCGTGTTTGTGTACTTCCTTCGGCCCAGAATGACCTTCTCTCTGCTTCCTTCAGGCTTGGCACAAACACCTCTTAGCCAGCATGGCTCCTGTAATCCACACTTCATTCTCTGAGTTCTTATAGCTCCTCAACTCTATATCACTGATTTTAGCCCTCAGGTTTCCAAAACATTACATGTTGAACATCTTAAGTCAGGAAAGTATAATTTATACCAATTTTTTTTTATATATATACTGGGGATTGGACTCGGGCACCTTGCCACTGAGCTACATCCTAACCCCCTTTTTTTTTATTTCTTAGCCTCCCCCAACCCCCTTTTTTAATTTCTCAAAACAGGATCTTACTAAGTTGCTTAGGGCCTCATTAAGTTGCTCAGGCTGGCCATCTTTGAATTTGCAATTCTGCCTCAGCCTCTCTAGTCACTGGTATTACAGGCATGTGCCACTGTGCCCAACTCAACTAATTTTTGTTGTTGTTGTTGTTTAAAAAATACATGATTGTGTCTCAAAAAAAAAAAAGGAGATAGGAATGTAGCTCAGTGGTAGAGCACCCCTGGGTTCAATCCAAAGAATTGCAAAAAAAAAAAAAAAAAATGCATAAAAAAATACATGATAACCACAGTCAAAAGGTAGAAACAACTCAAATGTCCATTGAGGGATAAATGGATAAACAGAATGTGGCATATGCATACAGCCTTAAGAGAATGAAATTCTGACAAATGCTACAACATGGACGAACCCGAAGAATATCATGCTGAATGAAATAAGTCAGACACGAAAGGACAAATAGGATATGATTCCACTTACTTGATGCACTAGAATAATCAAGCCATAGAGATGGAGAGTAAAACAGAGGTTACCAGGGATCAGGGTTATTGTTTAATGGGTACATGATTTCCATTCAGGATGATGGAAGAGTTCTGAAGGTGGACAGTAGTGACCGGAGCATAACAATGTGAAAATGTTACTGAACTTACAAATAGTTAAAATGGTAATTTCATACTATGTATATTTAGTCACAACAAAATACAAGATAAGAGAATAGATTGGTGGTTGCCTAAGGTGGGGGTGGGTGGAGTGGGGGTGATGGCTAAGGAATATTCGTTAGATCTTTAAATAAAGATCTTTAAAATATGAAAATATTCTAAAATTGTGGAAATGGTTATACTGCCCTTTTAATATACCAAAAATCACTGGATTGTATACTTTAAATGGGCAAGTCGTGATAATGCTCTTTTAAAAAAATACTGGTGGATTGAATCTCCCTTGGTTCCCAGCTGTGATGGGACAATTGCCCCGAAGAAAGTTCTCAGAAGGCAGAGCTCCCAGAGTCAAGAGCCACCACCTGGAAAGGAGACCAAAACCAGACTGCTTTTCCTCACCTCTTTACCAACTAGAATGCTAATCAGCAGCATGAAAGAAGTGACATAGAACATGTGGTACTCTCAGCTAACCCACGGTTGTGGGCCTTCCATCCTTAGTAGCCCCTCTTTGGTTTTGGTGCCAGGAATTAAACCCAGGGGTGTTTAACCACTGAGCCATATCCACAGCCCTTTTTTATATTTATTTAGAAATAGTCTCACTGAGTTGCTCAGGACCTTTGAACTCGTGATCCTCCTGCCTCAGCTTCCCGAGCTGCTAGGATTATAGGCATGCGCCAAAGCACCCAGCTCACTAGCCCTTCTTGACCAAAATGTTAACTTCAAGGGATTCTATCATCCACTCCTGGGGGAGACTCTTCCCATGGTGGTCCTGTCACCCATATTTCATTCCCAGCCAGCAAAGAAGCTCACAATCGGATCTGCCCTGTGGACAGGGCGCTGGCAATCCACAGCAGGTCCAGGGCCTTGAAGGGCACCAACACAAAGCTGACGTTGGCAGGCAGGTTCTTGGCACTCTCAGGGTACATGAAATGGTGGGTGGTTCGGCTGCCAACATCCTGCTCAAAGCCCACAGTTGGTGCTTGATTCATCCTGCAGGGAAAAGAGGGTGACATGAGAAAAAAACTGCCATGGAAACTGGTAGGCGATTTTTAGAGGACGATTTGGTGCTAACCATCAAAAACATAAATGGATGTACACTTTGACCCAGCAATTCTATTTCCATAAATCTATAAAAATGGTTACATATGTGTGCAAAGACATGCACATGGCTATTTAATCAATCAAACAATAAACTGGTATATGCATTTTTCACCTTCAGATAATGAAATACAGCCATCAGAGGAAATGAAGGAAATTTATATGTACTGGTAAGAAATAAATCCAAGACAGCTAATCAGTGAAGGAATCAAGTGGTAAGAAGTATCCCACTTTTTCTAATATATGTATTTTAGTATCTACTATATGCAGCAGGAGGGAATTACAACTCAGAAAGGAAAGAGGAAAAAAGCCTTCCTTCTGGAGCTGAGATGTAGCTCAGTGGTATAGCACTTGCTGAGAATGCATTTAAAAAAATAAGTAAATGAATACACAAATAAACAAATCCAAATGCTAGACAGGGTGGTGCACATCTTTAATTCTAGCAATTTGAGAGGCTAAGGCAGGATTGCAAATTTGAGGTCAGCCTGGACAATTTAGCAAGACTCAATCTCAAAGTTTAAAAAAGAGCTGAGGATGTATAGCTCAGTGATAGAGTGCCCTTGGGTTCAATCCTCAGTACTGAAAGGAAAAAAAAAGAAAAGAAAATGAAGGTCATGAAGGTAGACTTCCCATGGCCCTGAGTGTAATAAACCAAGAAGGCATCCTATCCTTTCAATTTCTGCAAAATACAGGATAATTACAATCAATGCTCCCTTTTCTCGTGATCAACTTACATCCCATGTGAACCAGCTCTAAACACAAATCTGTTGGTCTTGTCTTTTGCTGACGACACTACTGTCTCCTGAGGACCACCTTGCAGAATCATGACTACCAAGGTCGGATGACCATAACCTGGTCTTCTATTGGCCACAGGGATCCAATAAGGATGGAGCAGAGTCATCACGTGCCTCTAGCTTTTTATACCAGTTCTGTAAAATCAGTACAAATATTCCCTGCCCTCACAGTGGCTGACACCATTAGCCAAGCTGGGTGCAGATTTTCTGGGCTGTAGGGGTGTCCACACTGTCTTCCTCCTGCCCCTCACCTGGTAGAGCTGAGACAAGGGTTGTGCTGTCCAGAATGCTCCACCCCTGCCAATCATCTCTACCTTCTGTTTCTCTTTTCCTTCCCTTCAGGGACCAGAAGGTGCCTTGGAATGGGAGGCCATAAAGTCTGGATAATGAGTCTCTCTTTTTGTTTTTCTTCCATTACTGATCATTGTACCCCAAAGTGCTCTACCATTGAGCTACATCCTCAGCCCTTGTTTTTTTTTTTTTTTTTTTTTTTTTTTTTAAATTTTTGAGTCAGGGTCTTGCTAAATTACAAGACTGACCTTGAATTTGAATCCTCCTGCATCAGCCTGAGATTACAGGAGTGCACTACCACTTCTAGCAGTCTTTGTTCTGAACCATCCTAATTCTAGTCTGGGTTCAAGCAGACTTCTGGAATCTTCTCTATAGAACCTATTGTGCCCTATGCCCAGAACAGAGATCTAGATCCTGCCCCCATGCCCCAGACCCATGTCTTCAGAGAAACTCCCTCTGTCTCCTGGCTGTCTCCCTCTGGTCTCCTAGTCTTTAGGGTTCAGAGCTACTGTCTCCTAGAGAAGCCCAGAATTATCTTTTCCCTCTCATGAGTAATGCTTAACAGGTTTGGGGCTGCTACAGTTATACACACAGGCACTGATGTCCTGTGGTCACCATAGCTAGTCTGTGTCTGCTGTCTGCCTTCTGCCAAGTCATCCTGGACCCTGTGGAGAACAAAGTAGGTTGGAGAGAAGCCTTAACAGGGGATGGTATCAAAGTAGGTAACGAACCATCTCTCGGTTGCCTGAAGGATGCAAAGGGGCAAGCAGGAAGTGGAAAAATGTGGGTTGGGGACACTGGCTGAGCAGGAGCAAGGGGTCTCATACTTGTGAGAACCTAAGAAGCAAACTTCATTTCACAAGAGGCCAAGCAGACCCTGCTGATCAAGGGGCTGAGGTTGCCTCAGGCCTGGCTTCTGAAGACCTGCTTTTGCCTTCTCCATGTGCTGGCAGCTAGAGCTTTTGAGAAGTCCCTCCTAGACCTGGCAGTGAGGCCACCCACCTCCCACCCCTGCAGGCAGGCCTGCTGCAGAGCCTGCTCTCGCCCTACTCTCCTCTATGCTCTGTCCAAGCACCAGCCCACAAAGCTGGGAACAAATGAAGCAAGAAGCCCCAAAGATATTTCTAGCCTCTGAGGGAAAAGGAAAGAACGTGGCAGTCTTCTGGAGTCAAGATGTTGTTTTGAGGTTCTGATTCATTTTGGAGAAGCCAACCCCTGGAAAGGGGCCATAGGATGAGCTGGCTCTCTGGGATTTGGGGGCAAAGCATTCTAGAAACTTTTATCTGTCCGTGGCTATCTCCAGCAGCCAAAAATGCCTTGGGATGGAACACAGGCAGGGTGGATGGACACTCTTATTTACGGTCCGGTGTCTGGTTGCCTACTCCTTTTCCTTCATATATTCACAGCATGCCTTCTATCTACCGGGAACTGCACTAGGAGTTGTGGATGTAGCTGCTGGCCATCCGAGATGGGAATAGCTCAATTCTATTTTGAGTTGTCAGCAGGGCTTGGAGGACTTATCCTCCTGGAGGAGGCAGCTGGTAGGGAGACAGGAGAGTAGAGCCATCATGTCAATGTAACTCAGTTTGGCTCTCCCAGTAGAGTCTCACACTGGTTCTAAGATGAGGGGTCTCCCTGTTGGTTCTAAATCAAGATAGGCCTCCACTGCTATCTGGTTCCTCATACAGATCAGCAGATAGTCAATTACCATCTGATCATCCCTTCCAGAAGGAAAGTTTGGGGTTTGATCCAAAACATATCTTGAGCATGCCTCCTGAGAAGGAGTACTGGTGGATTTGTCTCAGCCTGGCCTGACTAGGTGTCACCTACATGTCATAAGTGGCCAAGACTTTTGGTTTTGCAGGATTTCAACCCTGGAGCTCATCAATTATCCTGAGGTGTCTCATCAAAGCTCCCACTTGTTACAGGTGGCTGGGAAGGCAGGTGCTCAGGCATCTGAGAGCATTTCACTGGGCTTCCCAAGTGCTTGATGGCCACACTGCAACAGCACCTCATTTTCTAATTTCAACCCATTGTTTCTGGGTGAAGAGAGAGAGGTCCCTCCCTGGCTTCCATCTCACCTCCCTCCTATTTGAGGTGCCGGTAATTAGGGGATGAGGTAAACTGAGGTGGTTCTGGGGTGCTGGGTGGGGTAAAGCACCCTTCTCTCTCCCCGGCCCATCACCATTTCTCAATAGGAGGAAGGTCTTGCAAAGAATGTGGAAAGTCTCAGAGACATATTGCTGCCTGGTGTTGCTATGGAGACAGCAACAGTGTCGAAGACAAAGCCCTTCCTTCTGCCTCCTGGGAAATCTGGCCTTTTTGTAATGCTCATCCTGAGATATTTGGTAAAAACCAGGCAATACCAAGGACAGGGGTGGAAGGATCCCCGTGTGGCATATCCTATCCCTAGCCAAGCCAAGGGAGGAAGGCAGAAGAGATGGGTTAAGAGCTGAGAGCAGCCCATGCTGGAACCTGAGTCCACCCTGTGTTCCCTGACACACCCTTCATCACGCTGTGTCTGTCTTCACTGAACACTCTCTCTACTCTTCTCCCTTCCTCAGGGCTAGGCAGAGATGTCTCTGGAAGTCTTATGAGGATGAAGAGAACAGGCAGTCATCGAGACAGCTTTTTCTGCCTACGACATCTGTCTTCAGTTAGTCTGCTAGAAAGAATCACCTGTTGCTATAAAGCAAGATGCAAGTTTGCCTTGAGGAGCTCACTTCTAGCTTATGCTGAGGGGACCAGGTGAGTAATAAGGGCTTCTGATGAGTTTCCACCAAACACCAGCCAGGGGTCTAGCTTCAGCCCTTTTCAGAGGAATTGGAAAGTGAATGTGGTCCTCTAGCAAAGTGAGATTTGGAATGCAACCTCCCACCCACCCTAAACAGACAAGGGACACAACCCAAGCCTGTCCTGGAAGCCTATAGGTGTCAGCATCCCTTAGCACCCAGGCAACTCATCCCCTGCCAGATAAGGCCAAGGAGGCAGGGACCCCTTCCTGGAGGCTTGTCCTCACCCACCCTCGGTTCCACGGGGGCTCACCTCATGATGAAATTGTGCCTATCCACGTCCTGCCCGTAGCCAGAGCCCCTCAAGTTGCCAGAGTTCCCCACCACAGCACAGCGCCTGCACTGGTGGGGGTCCCGGAAGCGGTAGGGGTTCTCGCCTGGCACAATCTGGAACAGCTTCTCCAGTACCTCATTGGTGTTGTGCGACTTGAACTGGGGCTGCAACATCTGTGGGTGGGGAGGGAGGGCTAAATGGAGGGAGGGCCTCTGGCCACCCCTCTGAGCCCTCCCTTTGAGTTGGAGCCACATAGACCTCCTTGCCCGGGAGGACCCCTCCATTTCTCAAAAGCAGCAAAGTCCTGGTTCCAGTGGGCCTCCTGTTCAGAAACCAGTGCCCTGACAATCATTGGGTTTCTCTGACATGCCATAGAGGACTGGAGGATCAAGCTGCTATTCACCGTGCTCCTGGGGGACCTGCAGTCACAAGGCAGAGCAACTTCCTTCAGGAGTCCTTCCCAATCGGCCCACCTTGGGAACTCCTGAGACTCAGCCTGATGGCTGGGGTTATAGATGCCCCATCCAGGGTCACATTCATGGGATACCTGAAGCCATTCCCTCACCTCACCCTCAGTCGCCCCCAACTACAAGCTGGAATCCAAGCTATTGATAGATAAAGATTGTAAAATAAGGCAGGACAGCAGTCTAGTGCTTTCTGGCCCAGAAAGGTGTCACACGAGAGTGAAGCAACAGGTGGGGTCCACAGACCATATGCCCCATCAGAAAGAGCAAATTCAGTCCAGCACAGTGGTACATGTCTGTAATCCCAGTGACTGGGAAGATCACAAGTTCAAGACCAGCCTCTGTAACTTAGAAAGACCATGTTTCAAAGTAAAAATTTTAAGGGCTGGGATTGTGGCTTAGTGGTAGAGCGCTTGCCTAGCATGTGTGAGGCACTAGGTTCGATTCTCAGCACCACATACAAATAAATAAAATTTAAAAATTCATCAACAATTTATAAAAAATATTTTAAAAAATTAAATTTTTTTAAAAGGGTTGGAGATGTAGCTTAGTGGTAGAGTGCCTCTGAGTTCAATCTCAGTACCTCAAAAAAAAAAAAATTCAACCAATTCTTTTTTTTTTTTTAAGAGAGAGAGGAGAAAGAGATATTTTTTTAATATTTATTTTTCAGTTTTTGGTGGACACAACATCTTTATTTTATTTTTATGTGGTGCTGAGGATCGAAACCAGCGCCCCCGCGCATGCCAGGCGAGTGCGTTACCACTTGAGCACATCCCCAGCCCCAAACCAATTCTTAACACATGGATTTATAAGCCCAATGGGGCCAAATTCCCCAATTTTTCAAGAGAAGCAAAAAATATAGGTTTCATGTGAAATAATGTGATTTCTAAATATTGGTAACTATGTAAATGTAAATACTGGAATAATACTTAGTGGGCTAGACCTGGCCCATGGCATGGCCACCAACTGATAATGCTAAAACTGGGGCTTTAAAATGCTGTGGACTGAGGGTACAAGGCAGAGTAAATTCCTTCAGGAATCCTTCCCAATCAGCCCATTGAGACTCAGGTCAGTGAAAGAGCACTTGCCTAGCATTTGTGAGCCCCTGGGTTCCATCCCTGGCACTGCAGGAGGGGTTGGGGGTGGGGGAGACCGTGAAATGGACCATAACCTATGGGGTTTGTGGATAAGCAGGAGCTGCTCAGAAAACCAGAGATCTTTCTGGAAAGGTATCCTGGTCCTCAGACAAGAATTCCCGACTCTGTGGCAAAAGAGGGGAACAGAGAAGCCTCTCAATTGAGGAACACACTTGCTGCTTAAACAGTCACTGAATTCTATCCCTGTGGGCAGGAGGCCTGTGCTGTCCCCTGGCATTTCACCCTTGTCTAGAATACTGATTTGGCTCTATATGACCACTACTGAGAGAGTATGGTCTTGGGCACCATGCATTCCCTGAATCTTTATTTTCCATTAAATGAAGGCTGTGAGTATGACTAATAGACAGGAAGGGCTCCAGGATGCCATGGAAGGGCCTACGGGGTTCCTAGGCACCCTTGCTCTCAGACCCCAATCCTGGGGCACTCTGAGAGTCTGGGCCACAAGTCTGGGGAGTTGCTCTGATAAGCTGGTCACACAAGCTCATCCTCACATCTTCCCTGAATGTGAGAGAAAGGGTGGGCATCTGCTACCATTTTCCAACTGGGGAAACCGGGGGCTCTTGAGGCCTCCTGTTGGGTGTGCAGGAAGCCTGTGAGCCCAAAGATACCATTCCACCCTTGGCACAGGCAGCACCCAGATGGCCCCGCGAAGCCTGGGAGGCATTGCTCCAGAGATAACGGGAGCAAGGCAGAAGGCGGTGAGAGAAGCAGAAAGGGGGCAGGATCTAAAAGGGCAGGAGGGTCCTGCTGCACAGGTCCCTCATCCCTCCTCTTGACTTTCCTCAGCCCCTGAGGGTAATTTACAATGCTTTCTAGGTGAGCCCAGAGAAAAGTCTTTTTCCAGCAATTATAAAGAACCAAGAGTAGCCGATAAGGGGGACCCAGGCCTATAATCCCAGCTACTCTGGAGGCTGAAGCAGGAGGATTCCAAGTTCCAGCCTGGTCAACTGAGTGAGACCCTGTCTCAAAATAAAAGAATATTTTTAAAGGGCTAGGGATGTAGGTCAATGGTAGAGTGATTTTCTAGCATGCCTGAGGCCCAGTGCTTAAAAAGAAAAAAAAATCTGGATGTGTGGGTCTCATAAGAGTTCTGGAAGATGCAGCAGCACAAGCCACACCCTGGCTAGGCAACACTCACTGGGGCTGAGGGGTGGCTGCCTCTTGCACAATGGACAGGCTCCCCTATCTTCACGTCTTCCATTTATCCCCACCATCTCACATGGGCTGATCCTCCTGTCTGTGCAACTTTCCTGGACCAATAACCATTTCTAGTCTATGCTGGGCTTCAACAGGCATCAAAAATACTAGCTCTCTCTCCTTCCAGGTGAAATCTTGATCTGACCTTCAGTTATCTGCAATCCTCGTATATGGCTCCCATCAAATGGGCCTCCCACTTTGTCAAGGCACGGGAGGCCAGAAGAAGCCCCAAACCAAGAGGGGGATCCTAAGGGTGACTCCGAAACAGGGAGGACGAGCCCTGGGCGAGAGGGCAGCAAAGGGGAGGCAGAAGGGGCCAGAGCTCTCACCATCCACCACCTTTGGACATCCGGGGGAAGATCCATGTTCTCTCTGGTCCAGACAGGTGAGATGTTGCTGTCAAAGTGGCTGTCGAACCAATCAGAGGCGCCTGTATCACCCATGCAGCGGCGGCAGGCACAGCTCTTGCCTGAGAGCCCCTCTTTGCTGAGGCGCTGCAGGCCAGCGTAGCCGGGCACCAGCTTCACCCGGTGTGTCCCACCCAGGGCCCCCGAATCCAGGTAGGGCAAGGTGGCCATGCTATGGTGCGAGTAGGTGAAGAGCAGGGACATGATGAACACCAGCAGGAAGGCCACAGAGAGGAACCACACCCGCAGAGAGCACTTCATGGTGCTAGCAGGCAGGCAGCTGTCACCGTGGCCACTTCTTTCCCAGCCCACTGAGGGGCCAGCCACGGCGCAGCCTGTCTATTCCGGCAGCAAGTGCAAAGGGCATAGGGGCATGTGATATGGCAGGGGATCCTCGCCACACCCTCCCTCAATGTAAGGAGTGGCTCCCCTGTCCCTGAGCCACTTGGGTCCCAGCTTAGGGCTTCATTGGTTATCTCTGTCACTAGCTGGGCCACAAAGGCTCTGCCTCTCCTGCTGCCCCAGAGAGGAGGAGGTCAGTCCATCCCAGCCCTCTAGTCCCTTGGGATTGCTGGCTGCCAGCTCTGGGGGCCCCCCTCTTTGGCGGCTTGAAAAGGTCCAGTTTGGAGCAGTCGGGGTCTTTGTGGCTCATGAGCAGACACCGAGGCAGCCCCTCGTCCCCTGCAGCGGGGAAGCCCTGGAACTCTGATTAAAACAGAGAGGACACAAGCTTCAGGGGGCCTGCATTCCATGCAAGAGTCCTCCCCACCTTGGCTGGCACTCCCGTTTAACCCTTCTGCCAGGGGCAGGGACCGGATCCCAGCCCTGAAAGAAAAAAAGCAGGAAGCTCCCTGGGTGGTGTCAGGAAATTGCTGCAAAGACCAAGATTCTCCTCGAATTAGTCCCCAACTGCTTCCCATCCGAGGTGCTGGTCCCTTTTCTTAGTAGTCACAGCTCCAACTGCAGTTGCACAGGGGTCACCAAGCACCTATTCTTGCTATGGAGTCCTCTGGGGCTGGTAACAGTTGCTGCTCAGTGGGGTGCTGCATCCAAGCCGTCCAGGTCAGCAGAATGTGCGCAGAGCTCCCCACCAGGGTCCAGGCCTCCTTCCTGGAGCTGCTGGCCTGGGCTCGGTGGCTGCTCTGTCCATCCCTGCTCTCCTGAGGCCAGGCTGTCCTGCTGTTAGTTCACAGTAGCAGTAATCCCCGGGCAGGTTCCCCCCCACACTTGTCAGGCGCCAGGCTGCCGCAGCATGACCCTGAAATTGCAGAGAGGAAAAAGAATGTGCAGATAAATTGCACACACACAGGCTCTTCCCCAACTCCACCCCCAAGTTCCAGAGGGGACAAAGCTAGCAGCAGAGGAGATACCCACTTAACCAAAGGGTAGACAAAAGAAAGGGCTCTCCTCCCTAACCATCCACAGATAGCATAGCTCTGCATATCTCCCCCTCAGGGGACTAGATTAGCCAGAAACTTCACTTATTAGCCAGAAGGTAAACAAGGAGCAGTTAACTTGATTTCCCTAGAGTCACATGGCAAGTTACTGGAATTAGTAGGTTTAGAAAGCCTTTAGTCTAGCTTCATTTAGTTTTTTCCCCTTGTACTGGGGCTCAGACTCAGGCACTCTGCCACATCCCTAGCCCATACCATATATATATATTATTTTGAAACAGGGTCTCACTAAATTGCCCAGACTGGCCTTGAATTTGTGATCCTCCTGCCAGAGCCTCCCCAGTCACTGGGATTACAGGCGTGCGCCATAGTGCCCAGCCCCTAGTCCAGCTTCGCATAGTTACTTTCAGGTAAAACTTAGAGAAAACAATCCAGAGAAGATCCCAGGGTCTTCGAATGCTAACTCTCGGACACAGATCACCCAGGGCCCTCTCAATGCCCAGGGAAAGCCCTCCAGCAAGAAGGAAGGACTGGGCCCAGACCATTCAACTTGCCCCTCTCCTCTCTTGGTGTGGGTAATGGAACAATCCTTCCTGCTCTGGTATGAGGGGAGAATGTGACTGCATCAGGAAATGGAGTTGCTGGGCACAAGACCCCCACTGACCGGCCTCCCTCTGGACACCTGCCTTTAGCTGTATATTATAGGTGAAAAGAGCGCCAGGGTCTCTGGTAGAGCTGAAAGTATGAGGCCCATGCTGTTCTGGCACACAAAAATGGGCAGAGGCCAAGTGTAGAGTAGTGTGGATTCTGGCCCTCAGGAAAGGAGCTTGAGTCCGTGGCATGGGAATCTCTTAAACCATCTCCTCTCCAAATCTGGCCAGTGCTAGTTCTGACAGCCCTACCCTTGTTGAAAGCTCCAGCCTGCCCTTCCAGGGTCCTCTGGCTGCCCTGGCCGCTGTAGAGAAGATGTCTTAGGTTCCATGTTTAAGAGAAATCTAGCTGCCCTCATGGTAGCTCAAATTTCTGGGTCCAAGCCAAACCACAAAGCCATCAGGGAACGGAACCAGCCTATTGCAATAGAGAGGGAGGATATTACTCTGAGTGGGAAAATAATGCTCACAGAAGTAAAGGAGAATGCTTAATGTCGTGACCTCATGAATGGGAGTGAGCTTTGAGCCCCTGTCTGATTCCAAAGCCTAGGCTGAAACCAGGGCACAGAAAGGAGCTCATGGAGGGCCAGGGTTGTGGCTCAATGGTAGAGCTCATGCAAGGCGCTGGGTTCGATCCTCAGCACCACATAAAAATGAATAAAATAAAGGTATTGTGTCCAACTACAACTAAAAAAATATTTTAAAAAAAAGAAGAAGAAAGAAAGAAAGGAGCTCATGAGTTTCTTGAGCTCCACAGGGACAAGAGGGAAGGAGAGACACAGAGACTGGCTTCCCAGGGTTAAGAGTGAAGCTTTACCCATATGCCTCACCCAGGCCTCCTGGCTTGAATCCACAGAGACACTCAATAGTGTAACCGTGGTCCACTTTATAAATGTAGCCCTTGCTGCTCTGCCACTGCAACTTTTTATTTATTTATTTATTTAGTACGTATCGGGGATTGAACTCAGGGGCACTCGACCACTGAGCTATATCCCCAGCTCTATTTTGTATTTTATTTAGACACAGGGTCTCACTGAGTTGCTTAGTGCCTTGCTTTTGCTGAGGTTGGCTTTGAACTCGAGATCCTCCTGCCTTAGCCTCCCGAGCCGCTGGTATTACAGGCGTGTGCCACCTCGCCCAGCTTGCAACTTATTTTTTAAATGGACATTTTTTTTTCTCTTCCTCTCTCTCTCTGCTCCTCCTTAATCTCTCTCCCTCTTAATCTCAGGGAAAACAGAATTACCTTTCTTTCCCACTTCAGGCAGATTTATCTGCCCCTGAGTATACACCCACCATAGGAATGAAATAATCCAGACTTTGGAGTTGGTACTAGAAGATCTCAGAAATGACCAACTCCCAAATTTACAAGTAATTACAACTCCAACAGAGAACACAGGAATGTACCCTTTGAGTCTCCTCTTTAAAAGGCCCCTGTTCCTGCTGATGGGCAGAATCACAGCCTCTGGGTCAAAAGGCCCCAGTTTCTCCTTTGCTAACAAAGCAATAAACCTTCTTTTTCCTTTTTCTCAAAACCATGTCCTTGTTATTAGATTGGCATCAGGGACAAGGACCAAGCTTTTGGCAACAGCAGTACTGGTTCAAATGTGCCTTTTCCAAAGTTCCTCCACTGAACTCATTTAGCAGATTATGTGGAGAACAGGTTGGGCCCTGCTCTGAATTTTCAAACTGCCTAACACTGAGTTAGTCCATGTTGTAAAGTAGTAGTTTGCCATGAGCTACTCCATTTTGAGAGTAAGTGCCAAGGTAGACTGAATCTACACCTTGTTTGTAGAGGTAAACAACCACTACCTGCGTGGCACAACTATAAAGCACAAACTGATAACTTGTATGCACCAAAACTAAGTAATTGCCGGGCACAGTGGTATATGCCTGTAATCCCAGCAGTTTGGGAGGCTGAGGGAGGAGGGCCGTAAGTTCAAAGCCAGCCTCAGAAACAGCAAGGTGCTAAGCAACCCAGTGAGACCCTGTCTCTAATAAAATATAAAATAGGGCTGGGGAGGCTGGGGATATGGCTCAAGTAGTAGCGCGCTTGCCTGGCATGCGTGAGGCACTGGGTTCGATTCTCAGCACCACATAAAAATAAAATAAAGATATTGTGTCCACCTAAAACTAAAAAAATAAATATTTAAATAAATAAATAAACAAATAAAATAGGGCTGCGAATGTAGCTCAGTGGTCAAGTGCCCCTGAGTTCAATCCCAGGAACCACCCCTCCAAAAAAAAAAAAATACCTAAGTACTTGGATATGGCAGCACCCTGACCTCTCACCTGGTCACTCATCACAAGCCTTGCCAGGGAAGAATGCCACAGTGATGCACCTCTAATTTCCTGTCCCTTTATGTTTTGGCACAGCATGGTTTCTCCTGCCCATGGTCACTACACAGGGCCCACTCCAAGCTAACACCTTGAGCTGACACTTCAAGCTGATACTCTGAAACTGAAACTGCCATCTGTCCAGCTCTGCCTTGATAACTGCAGAAAACCCTTATCTGACCATCTACAATGGTTCTTTGACTCTGCATTCTTATCACTCTCACCTGTGCTTTTGGCATAGCATCCTGTAACCCTGTGGCCACCTTAACTCTTTCTCATTCTTTGTGTGTGTGTGTGTATGTGTGTGTGTGTGTGTGTGTGTGAGAGAGAGAGAGAGAGAGAGAGAGAGAGAGAGAAAGTATGATGTGTTATAGATACTAGAAATTAAGACTGGAATGGAATAAAAGAACTTGTGATTGCCTGACTTATCTCTATCAGATGACCTACAAATATTCCATGAATCACCACTGCTGCAAGTGGTGTAGCTTGTGAATTTATTGTTATTCAATAAATTCTGACATTGTGGGAAGACACGAACATGTTGGTCTATGTTAATGGCATAGCTAGCTCACAACACAGCCTGTGGCTAGACATCCTGTAAACAGGAAACCGGGTCACTGTCTCTTTCAGTTCTCCCTTTTCCCATTTCCATGCCCAATATCTAAGAAAAAGAACTTGGCTTTAGAGGGTCCCCCTCCTAGCTCCCTGTGACCTGAGAAGAGTCATTCATGGAGCAGGTGGTCATGGAGGCAGTGAGTTTGCAGACTGGACAAGTGACAGATAAGGAGACCCATTTGTGGATGGGTAGCCCCACTGTGACACCAAAGGCGGGGGCTGGGCAAAAACCTGCACAGGAGGCTTCCCAAGGAAAGAGCTCAGATAGGGCCATGCCCCAACTCCCGGGGATTCTAAATCAACCCAGGGGGCTCCTGAAGTAACCTGCTCTGTTGGGAAAAGGAAAATCCCTAGTTCAACGACATACCTGGGAAGAGCAAAGGAATGAATGGAGCCGCTGGCAAAAGCCCTTGTTTTGAGAACTTCACATTCAGACGGTTACCAGGAGCTTAAACTGCTCAACTTATGTTGAGGGTAAAAGGAGGCACTGGGAGGAGCAAAAAACATCATAGGCCTCTGGATGGGCACTAACAACCCCAGAAATCACTCATGCTGGCCTTCACCTGTCTCATTTCCACCTGTGAACTCTGACGTCCCTTAGGTGGCCCAGGGCCTAATTGTGATCTCTCCCCTTCTCAGCTTCTCTGATCATTCATAAGCCCACGAACACCCCAGTATAAAGAAATTAGGGGGGAGGATGTACACTTTGGCATCAGTCCCTGGTCTCCATCTCTGCTGCCAGTGGAGAGAGGCAGTACTCTTGGGCCACCTGGTTGCTGGAAGGCTCACTCATATGTTCTTATTTTTGTTTTTTTCAGTACTGGGGATTGAACTCAGGGGTACCCAGCCACTGAGCCACATCCCCAGCCCTGTTTTGTATTTTATTTAGAGACAGGATCTCACTGAGTTGCTGAGCCTGGCTTTGAACACACGATCCTCCTGCCTCAGCCTCCCAAACCACTGGGATTACCAATATTCGACACTGCACCTGTTTTGTTTTTTTTTTAAGAGATTGTGTGAGAGAGATTTTTTTTAATATTTATTTTTTAGTTTTCGGCGGACACAACATCTTTGTTTGTATGTGATGCTGAGGATCGAACCCGGGCTGCACGCATGCCAGGCGAGCACGCTACTGCTTGAGCCACATCCCCAGCCCCTACGCCTGTTTTTTTAATTGTCTTTTTGAGGACTAATTCATATATACTAAAACACAGAAGCTGTCCAATGTAAAGCTTCATGAACTTTTACCTATGTGAGCTGCACTG